CATCAGCCGGCCGGGCGCCGCCGCCGCCGCCGCCGCCGAGGGCGCGCTCAAGAGCCCCGCCTGCTCCGGTGAGGGCCGGGGGCGGCGGGGGAGCCGGGCGGGTGTCCGAGCGGCGCCGCGACGGCCCTCCTGCCTACCTGCCTCCGCCGCAGGGTCGCAGGAGCAGGCGCCGCTGGGGCTGCTGGACACGCCGCTGCTGGAGGCGGAGGCGGAGGTGCGCTACTGCTTCCTGCCGCTGCGCCTGGTGGGCGAGTTCCCGGCGCTGGTCACCGACGACAACCTGCTCTGGCTGGCCGACGGCGCGGCGCTGATCGAGGTCGAGAGCGGCGAGTTCCGCTTCATCGGTAAAGGGCAGGCAGGCGGGAGGGACCCAGCCCCCGGGCAGCCTCCTCCGAAGGTGGCGGGGAGGTTGGGGGGACGCGCCCCGCGCCCACAGGTCAACTCTGGACCTCGCCCCGTTGCCTTGACGGCTCCTACCCGGCGCAAAGCTTCCCTGGCCGCCGCCTTCGGCCTGTTCCCTGAACTGAAGGGCTGGGAAGCCCAATGAGGACATGGGGAAGGTCTTGCAGCTTGTCCTGCGTTGCCCTAGTTCCTTTCCCGGGAAAACCAGCAAGGCAAGAAAGGCCTCTTTTGACCCGGGGCCCTGGAGCTGCCATTTCTCCGTTCCTTTCAAGAAAGTGTCGCTTGTACAAGAACAGCGGTGGTTGGAGCTTTGATAAAGGACCACACTTGTATCTCAGGGTTGAAATGGGGGGTCTGAGCTTGGTTGTTTTCTTGTAGTGCTCACTGATGATGTGACCTACAGTATTTGGGTAATGAAACGTCTGAAGGAAACAAGCAAGCTCAGAGAGCATCAAGCCTATAATTTGCATTGTTATCCTAGAATTATTGTTATGGTTATTAGCCTAGCAGCCTATGTTTCAAATTCTATTTCTTCCTATCAATTTTCTCTTTATTGTTTCCATGTCCATCCCTTTCTGGCTGGCTGACTTGGTCCATCTGTTGCTTTGCTTTCCCCTAAAGTCACTCGAAATATATGTATGTAGCATGAAATGTGATTGCAAAAACACTTTGCTAGATCTTCAGGTTGTTTACTTTCTGGTGTGCATTTTTTTAAACAACTAGCTAATTTTCTTCGCTCAGAGAAGATTCTTTTGCCTGATAACTTCTCCAGCTTGGATTCTCTGGAAGCTGAAGCTGAAGCCTTGGGCATCCCCAAGGTCATAGAAGCCGTGAAGATCTTCAGGAATAACCCAGGTGTAGTAGTTCTTACAACATTTTAAGTTCTGTGTTGACTTGAGTTCAATGTAAAAGGGATTACTTGGGCTTTCTTTAATTACAGAGTGTGAGTAATGATAACTTGGTCGTATTCATTAGGAAATTGTACAGAATATAACCTGTACAGTAATACACAGTGCTTTTTTTGTTTTTTTTAAAAAAAGGTGCCGGAACTCACGCACAGCTCCGGCTCCAGTCGAAAGCCCTTTATGGAACCGGGGGGCGGGGGGGAGAAGAAACCGCTTTAGGGAGCTTCAGCTTAAAATATGTATTTTATGACTGTCCAACAATGCAAAAACAGGTGGCCCTTGCACTCAGTTCCCCCCCCCCCCATCCCTCTTGTGCCCTGCCCTTGACTGGAGTCTGTTCTTCTGATTACAATATTGCAGCATGTGGAATTTGGAGGCTCAGAAAGCAGGACTTGCAAAACGTTCTGAGCTTTAACTCATTTCTGCTATTCTGCTCTTAAAAAACTTTTGCCCCAAGTCCAGAACGAAACGGGCACTTCCAAACCATTGGACGAAGAAATCGAAGGCCGTGGTGTTCCTTTGTTCTGGGTGAACCTTTTAAGAAATGCATTTGCTTGTGTTGTTCTGCTTTGGTTTTAAAATGGAATGCAGCTCGGATCTTTACTTCAGCCAGATGATGGCACAGAGAAGCATAAGACACAGTCAGCCATTTTAATGTCAATGTCTCCTTTGGTGTTTTTCTTTAGGCTCAGGTTCCAGTGAAGCCTCTAAGTCTCCAGTACAGGAGCAGAGACTTCAGGACCCATCAGTCCTCCTTCCTTTGTACCCAATGGTGCTGGGACTCCTAGTCAAGTACCCTGACTCTGCTCTTGGGCAGCTCCACATGGAGAGCACTCTGGATGGGAACAAGCTCTACATATCAGGGAATGGAGTTCTTTTTCAGCATGTCATGTATGTCCCTCGGGAAGTTTGGTTATGCTTGTTTCTAGTTTCTGACGAAGACACTTGAGATGTGTTTGCATTCACATCTCAAGTGTCTTCGTCAGAAACTAATGTAATTTAGTGTAAGTACACTAATAACAGTATATCTTAAGCAAGGTTTAATGGCAAATTAATATGCATATGATAAGGAGGATCCATATCATTGTTATTTTAAAGTAGAGTGTGAGTAAATATATATATATGAAGAAGAAAACCGGTTGGTAAAAAGTCCGTATAAAGATGAAAGAATGAAAAGAAATAATCCAATAGCTGCCTTAAAATAGGAATGTTAAAATATCTACATTTCTGGCAAGTTTTTCTCTTTTTCTATGCAAAGGAATTGGTTAGGAACTTGCAGACTTCCACTTACACGAAATATGTCTGAACTTCCACACCTTTGCACCTATTTGGATCAAATGGATCTCATCTATGAGCCAATGAAGGACGCTTTAAAAAGATTTCTAAACCCAAAGACGCCCACAGACTCCCTGGTAAAAAGTAAGTCGTACCTCCCTTCAGATTTATTATGCACAGGTAGCTCTGTTGTGGGAGTCATTCATAGGTTAAAGATCTGGGTAAGGAAAAAACATCCCTGCGAAAAAGGCTGTGGCAAACGCCTTCCGTGTTGTTGCAGAACAGAGGTGAGATGGCTGTGTCGTAATAGTCATCGGGGGCCAAGCTGATCTTGAAGGATGAATATATGATAGAATGATTGGTATTTTCTCTTAGTGGGAGAAGAAAATTAAAAAGTTGCTTAGGCCTTTTTAAAAGACATTTACTTGGACGGGAGCGCCATTGACCTGAATGGCTTTCTTCATTGGACACACTGAAATGTCCATATTTTAGGTTAATATATTGTACAGATTCAGCTCATACACTTAGTTGTTGACCCATACAACATAGTTGAGAATTCCCTCTGGCTTGGTAATGGAACTTGTGAAGTGGGTCTTAGAATAGTTATAGATTGCAAAATGGTTTGAGCCTGTAATGAAATTTCTCTTATTTCCTTCCTTGATCCAATTATTTATAAAGAAATTGTGTGGTTCAGGTGGCTGGGCGTATTTCATTCCTTCATGAATCCATTCCTTTGTGTTGCAAAAGTATAAAAGTGGATCTTCTGTCATTTGGATTGTGTTTTGTAGATGCAGAGTGGGCAGCAGAAATAACAGCTTTTTCCCTACATCATATTGTCAAAGTCTATGTAGGAAGCCACTGGTATGCCACCTATTTGCAAACATTATTAAAGGTATAATTATTAAGTATGTTTATGTTGCTCTAGAGTGGCCAATATTTAGGCTGCTTGTTCTAAAGAGATATAAAGAAAGCATGTTGTGTAACNATGGCAGATTGCACAGAGGACTTGAAAATTGACCTCTTGTGATGTTCATTGTGCTTTTTGTTGTGCGTCTCCTGGTGAAATGCAGGCTGGGATGTGTGAGAGAGTTCCAGTGTCATCCATTCCCTTTCCTGAATGCTGGTGACTGTGGGAAACTGCCTTAGAGAGATCATCCTCGCATCCCTCTAACCGCTGCACAAACAAGCCCTGGAATTCTTCTTGAATATCCTGTCCTCATGATATGGCCTTTGTCCTATCCCCAGCCCAGACTTGAGCCAGCTTAAAGTCCAGGGATTTCTTCCCTTCCAAGCACAGTTTTTATCATGGGCCTCACCTTCAGCAAGGTGGCTGGCCATGCAGTGGGCTCATCTGCCTGCCTCTCACTGACCTCTTCCGCCTTCCCCAGCCATTTGGGCTTGGAGTGCAGGAAGGACCAGGCAGCGGGTTTCTGTGGAAGCATCTCCAGGCAAAAAGTTTGACTGGAGGTCCCAAAGGGCTTGGCGGTCACAAGGAGGCTTTCTGAAAACCCAGGTGCAGTGGAATGAAAGAGCTGGAGTTTGCCAGCTGGGTGATGCCAGTTTCTCCCCAAGGAGCGCCTGCAGGTTTTTTGTTTTCTTTTATTTTGCTGACACCGAACTAGACTGTCTATTGCTTTCAGGACTTAGAGCCATTTTGTCTCCTGTGCAAGAGATTTGGGGTTACTTGCCACGTTGTTTGGATTGCTACTCTGTTATACTATCTGGTTTTTTTACAAAATATACATGCCACGGTAAAAATGTGCAAAAGACATTTTTACTGCAGCAAATTACAATGACCGCTTTCCTTCTGGAACTGTGGGATAAAGCACGTGCTTTGCAAGGATGAGGAATCTGGGCCATCTGCAGGCCAGGCAAAGTCCACACCATATGTTGATTTCATGTTAACAACACCAGTCACTTCTGGTCCCCTTTGCACCTGATATTATTCTGTCATGGTCTGCAGTAAACGGTCCAGTTCTTTAGAATACAAATCTGTTAACTATAGCCAGGGTCTTTTTGATAAGGAAAATAGTCTTTCCAGTTTGAGAGAAAGCTTATGGAAAGAGCTGATTGGAAATCTCTTTCTTCCTTTTAGTTTCCAGAGTTGTTGTCAAATTGCAAAAAGGTATATTGGATTGCTTATGGCCAGAGTCTCCTCATTCATGGAGATGGAAAAATGTTTCGACATGTTCTCAACTTCTTAAGACTTGGCAAGTTGTACTTACCATCTGAATTTAAGTACGTTAATTACTATTTGATGCATATTATCTCTGAGATAGTTAAAGAGCAGTTATACCTTAAGACAGAGATGGAAGTGCTCAGTGTACCAAATGGCTGCATCTCTCAAGCATGTTCTTTGTAGAATAAGGCTTTAATTATCTCCTCCCCAAAGTTCTATTTTCTCTATAACTGTAGCAATTTGTGTTTGCCAATTTCTCTTAGGTTGTTCCGGTTTCATTATGTCCCTATAGTGTTATTAAATGTTGCTAATTAACCATTTGCAGCAATGAATCAGGACAACAAAGCTAAACATTATTTCAGAAATATCACTAGTGATGTAAAGGGAACGTGAAGTTTATTTCTCCCAAATCTTAGAAAGTGCATTTGTCCTGTGAAGGACTTTGCACTTGGGCACAACCGGGGGGGGGGGGACTGAAGGGGCAGATGCTCTGGGCCCCAAAGAACAGCTGGAGCAGAGCAGGTATCCCCTTGCAGTAGAAGAAGGAGCAGCTGGACTGAAGGCCATCTTATGCTTGGACCAGACCTCCCTCCTGCTGCCCAATTCCATCATGACTCTGGGTAGCTCGTACTTAAAATGGAAAAACCACTGTCAAGTCCCCATAGATCCCTATAGGGACACTGCCGTTCTGGCGGAAGGGTGGAACCTCAGGGCTTCTCTGTGATGTATTCATTTTGCTTTGTTCCTCTTTTGCTTTGATGTATCTTGGGGGGGGGGGACTGGGGTGAGGAGGGATGAGCCTGGGGCCATCTGCCTTGTCTCATCCCCTGGAGAGGTGCCTGAGAACAACTTGTTATCACCTTCTGGGCTAGGAGTTCCCACAACATCTTCACACCTCTGGATTGCCTCTCTATGGACTGGGCACTTGGGAGGGGTTTTGAGCAATGGGATTTAATCTAACGCTTTTGCGCTGGAACTTTAGATCCTGCCAGTTTTCTCTGCAGTCACTTTCTCTCAATAAAAGATCCTTTTGAAATGCTGCCTGCTTCAAGAGTTCTACTTCCTTGAGGGAATAGCTCAGGTGGGACCTTACATTAGGCAGGATCTGCAAAGAGGTCAACCTGGAGCAGCACCAGCCCTACCATGAGGACCATGCACACCATGTCCAACCAAGGCAGTGAGCATGAAGAAGTTGAGTGCTGGGGGGAAACCTCCTCCAGGGTCCACAAGCAGATGGAGGAGGAAGCTGGATTTACAGGAGGCGTACTAGAATTAAGGAAGGGGAGAAATGGGAAATGGCTTTTAACTTCCTCCATTGGTAAATCTTCATTTTTTCAATGTTGAACGAGCACAATTCTTGCTGCAGTTAATACATGTAAAATTGGATATATACACTCTTTCTCATAATTTCCTACAATTATGCCTAACAAAAATAATTCTGGCATAAAATCTATGTGTTTTCTAATCATTTTCTCTATCCATGCATGTATTCTTAACCAGAATCTTTTGGCTTTAGAGCATGTCCACCAAAGATGGTAATAAGTGCCTGGTTTTTGTTTACATTTCCAACAGTTGCTTGATATATTTTTAAACATTTTTGCTAACCTCACTAGTGTTAAATGCCATCTATAAAACATTTTATATAAATTTTCTTTGTACGCTACCACTTTTGTTATTTTAGAATTTCTTTCCCAAAGGCTTTGCCAGTTTTCTAGTTCTGTTATGTCCAAAATTCTTTGCCGATGTTATTGTTTCTTTAACTTGTTCCTCTTCCATCTTTGAACTTAGCATATATTTATAAAGTTTCTTAATCAATTTTTCATCTAATATCAGTAATATCTGACATCACAAATTCTGACTGTTCTTTATAAAATCCAGATGTTTTAACATCTTTTTCATATCTCGTTTGAATTTGCAGATATGGCCACCATGATACGTCAATACCCTGTTCTAGTTCTTGTCTATGTTTTAATTTTCCTTTATCATTCAAAATGTCTTTATAAGTCACAATTTTCTCACAGTTTGTTAAGTTTGTGTGAACAAACGCTTCCATTGTTGAAAGCCATCCAGGTATTTTCATATAGATTTCCGCTTTCATTTTTTCCCATTCTAGCAAAAGTGCATTTCTTATGTAATGATATTGAAAGTATCTGTGTATTTTATTTTTCCCATATCATAGAAAGCCATGCCATCCAAGTTGTAGATCATGTCCTTCTAGGTATAGTAATCTTTTATCTCTAATAATTTTTTTAATTATATCATTTTGGAACTGTAGATTTCCTTTTGAGTCTTGCAATTTATTTATCACTTTTTTCTCTCTTTTTTCAGTTTGTATGCTAACCACCGCTTAGTTATCTTTTATTGAAAGGAAATGGTTACAGAAATTTTGACAAATGGATCACCTTTCACTTTAGAGCTTAATTGATCGTACAGTTCATTAAATAGATTTTGTTTCATCTTGGAAAGAAAAGAATGTTCTTTTCACAGAGAATCGAGGCAATTGGGGGGGGGGCTTTAACTACTGATAGCAACTTCCACCTCCCCCCCCCCACACACATTCTGATCTCTTCCTCCCCATCTTTAGTTATAACTTATATTTTATTGTAATTTTCATATGGTTTATATGTTTATTCATATATTTATGGTTTCATTTTAATTTAAGCTGTCCAGAATTGCCTGGTGGGTGACAAACAAATTTAATAAATAAAAATAATAATAAACAGAATTGCACAGTGTGTAGTTATGAACCTCCGCCGACTCCAGGACTAGCATGTTTTCCATGCCAGTTTGCTCTGTGAGCTGGGGAGTCTTAGATTCAAAGGGTGGTTAATCCCACTGTACTTGTCCCTGGTCAGTCTCTGCCATGGCTTTGTTTGGGAGACCCTCGCAAAGAATCAAATGGCTTTCTAGGATGAGAAGTTGGAACTTCAACATGTTCTCTATAATGCTCAGCTATGGTAAAATCATCATTATAATAATTGTTTTTCATTTATTTAAATTTATTAACAGTTAATGGGTAATCTCAGTTCAATTGATTTGAAATGATTTGCTTTTTCACCCCATGACAGGGAATGGTCACTTTTGTGCCAGGAAGTGATCGAGTACCAGATCCCTTCTCTGCTGGAGGCTCTATATCAGTATGACATGTACAGGTATTTCTGTCTTCTGCTTGATTCTCATTTGCTGCTCAGCATAAATAAAATTCAATGTACTACAGGTAGTCCTTGACTTACAACTACAGTTGAGTCCAAAATTTCTGTTGCTAAGTAAGACAGTTGTTAAGTGAGTTTTTTCCCATTTTACAACCTTTCTTGCTACAGTTCTTAAGCAAATCCCTGAAGTTGTTAAGTTAGTAACACAGTTGTTAAGTAAACCTGGCTTCCCCATTGACTTTGCTCATCAGAAGGCTGCAAAAGTGATCACGTGACCCCAGGACGCTGCGACCATCATAAATGCATGCCAGTTGCCAAGCATCTGAATATTAATCACACAACCGTGGGGATGCTGCAACAGTCCTAAGTGTGAAAAACAGTCATGAGTCTTTTTTTCAGCGGTGTTGCAACTGCTAATGGTCACTAAATGAATGGTTATAAGTTGAGGATGACCTCTTGTGGGCGCTCCATCACTGGAGGTTTTTAAGAAGAGACTGGACAACCACCTATCTGAAATGGTATAGGGTCTCCTGCTTGAGCAGGGGGCTGGACTAGAAGACCTCCAAGGTCCCTTCCAGCTCTATTCTGATTGATTGATTGATTGATTAACCTCTTATCAGTCACCAGACAGGGCCAGAGTACCATAGTAGGAAGCAGGAGCTCTCAGTGAAGAACAGAAAATGAGGGGAGAGGTGCAGAAACCCGAGTGCTCCCCCAGAGGAAAGGCTGGGCTTTCTCAGAGAAGCACTTCCCTTTGGAATGCAGAATCCGGGGGGGGGGGAGTTTTAAGCCACAGGATGGGGTGAGAGGACATTTGAACAAGATGCAAAAGTTGGTTAGCTTGTGCTTTGGCCAAGAAATTAGAGTCAGTTGCATCTCAAAATCTTTTTCTCCTGCCCCTTAGGAAAAAGAAAAAAAATATTCACAGCTTTCTCCTGTTCTTGACTTCTAACTCTCAATAGGATAATTTTAACAATGACCAATATTATTGAGGCATAGAAAGTGTTTCCTAAAAAGGATGTAAAATGTTTGTATTCCAGATTATGGCTGCAACAGAAGGAAGTTCAACATGTAGTTTATCCAGTTAGAAACCTTGAGTCTCCAATATCAGAGAAGGATACTGGATCCAACAAAGTCCTTCGAGATGTAAGGTTATTTTTTACTATTACTATTGTTATGATTGGTCGCATAGTCATCCAGATGTTTGGATTTGGCATTTTTACCTGTTGAGCTGTTCCAAGTCAAGCTGCCTTTTGCAATTGACTGGTGAGGATTTTGTCAATGCTGTTATATTCAAGTGGTGCTCCATATTTTTGAGATTGCACCCGAGGAGCCTCTGACTGTTGGTACTACCTTTGCTTTCTTTTGCACAGTAGTTCCATTTCTATTTGCAGGTCTTTGTATTTGGTGATTTTCCCCCCAGCTCTTTCTTTTTTATTCTGCTGTTATTACATCATGCTGGTTTTCTTCTTTCTCATTTTTGAGCACTGCAGAAAAAAAAATACTCTTCCAATGGTAGAGTGAAAGAATCTCCCACTTCAAATACTTTAAGGTCAAAACAAAAGTTAATGCCAGGCTCAGAAAACAAAGGGAGAGAGAAGATTTTGTTTCTAATCAAACCATAGCAGTATAATGGACAGCAAGAAAGAGCAAGTTTCTACACTTCCCATCAGCTTTAATAATATTCATATATAGGGGATCCTCAACTTAAGACGAGCCTTTTAACCACTGTTCTGAGTTACTACAGCCTCTGAGTGGGGGCTTTATGACCCCTGCAGCATTTCCAGCTGTAGTAAACTCTCACATCGCCCTGTGGTCATGTGACTACATTTCAGGGGCTTGGCAAGTGGCTCGCCTTTATGACCAATTCAGCATCCCGCTGTCACGTGACCACATTTTGCAATGTTTCTTCCTGTCTTCTGGTGTTTTTTGATGGTTTCTGGCAAAAAAACACCCATTCAGAAGAATGGGTTTGCTTAACAACTGTGGTGATTTGCTTAATGACCATAATGAAAAATGTAAAAAACAAACAGGTTCAGTCATGTGGCACCTCAACCTAGACCGGATTTCCATTTATAATTGTGGATGTAAATTGAGGACTACCTATATGGCCTTTCAATGTTGGTTTTCCCTTTCTAATTGGAGCAACATTGCTGCTTTTAGCTCTACTTGATTATTTTATCTTATAACTACAAATTCTATAAAGTCTTGTTTTTTTTGCTCTAGTGGTTAATTCAGAGTACAATAAAATATTATGTCAGTGCAAGCCTATGGAGTCCAACTTCCTTGGTTTATAGAACTGCAAAATATCTCTACCACCAGCTACTTCTGTTTGTGGCTCCAGGTATATCTATAGAGGCCTAGAAATGGATGGTTTACATTGGAAAAAGGGATTCTCTGATGGCAGATACACTCAGCAGAAAGCATCTTTGGATTTGTGTAGGGAAGAAAGTATCATTTTTCAATTTTTTCTTCAATTTTAGGAGGACCATCCAAATCTAATTTATTTTTACTTTCCATCTCCTGTCAGTAGGTTTCTTACCTGGAGGGTTGATCCAGCTGAAAAAGTCTAGGTGTGGTTTAATACAATTAATACACTTGTCAACGTTGTGACAAACTGAACTGAAGCCATTTTTCATTTTGTCTTCCTTGCCACATTTTAGTTTAGAGACTTTAGATGAAGGAGGGGAAGGGAGGATGTTAAGTTTCTCAGTTAGCCATAGCAATACTTCAAGGTCAGTCCTGATAAAAGTTTTGGCCAGCTGAAAAGCTGGGAGTAGAGCCCGCTTTTGAAATAATTGGTGAATGTGGTTTATGATAGCAATTTGGGGTGGGAATTGCAACGTTACTTTGTAGCCTGAAGGAGGGGATTTTAGTCTTGGGTTCACCTTGGTATTTGCCGATATCTTGTTTCCTAAATAAAATGTTCTTTAAGGAAGAAATCCTTGCCTTGAAGTTCTTTTAAATGGTTTCATCTATCGGAACCATGACAATTACTAATTATGCTTTAATGGATTTTTTTCCTCTTCCCTTTTTGAAGCATCTGCATTTTGCTGATTTAGATCAGTGTGCCAATAACTGGAATATAACTAGAGAACCAGAGTCCATGGAAGGGAGTGATAGAGAGAACACCAAATACACCAGCATTTCTCCCATTAAGGGAGCAAAGCGAAAACATCCCTGGGAAACGTCCAAGTCCTCCGATGACTGGGGAGACGCCTGCCTTTTCCGACAGGAAGGAAACCTCCCCAAGAAAAGAGGAGCAAAAGGCAGCTTCACCAAACCTCTGGAGAACAGTGACCCCCCCATTCAGAAGCTCATTTCCCTTGTGCAAGGCTGGGATATGGCTCACTGCAGATGCTGTGGGGCTCCCCAGGGACCAGGATCTTGTGAGGAATCCAAATGGAGAGCATTGTCTGGGAGGATCCCCCCTGCCAGCTGCTTCAGAATCTCCAGCTCTGAGCTCTCTAGCAATGAGGTGGCCATACAAGGAGCACCAGAACATCTGTCCAAGGCTGAACTGTGCAAGCAGGGACCCCTGCCCCCCCAGGGCTGGCTGACAAAGGCGGATGACCCAAGCAGTCTGGAGGAGGTGCCCTCCTCAGGGAAAGGTGCCAGCTCTCGGGAACAGAGTGGCCAGAAAGAAAAGGGTAAGTCGAACTCTTTCACTTGCTGCTTGTAAATGATTTCCGGGTTTGATTGGGAATAAAGGACTGCTTGGAAACATTTATTTTCTCCCTGAACCTTGTATTTTTAATTGTAACCTGTTCAGGAGGAGGCGTAGTAACCAACTTCTTGATAAGTTAGTCATGATCCTTGTAGTAGTCCTGCAGATGCTTTTTCACGAGGCAACTGGACTTTCTTGTCTTTCTTTGAAGACGTTTTGCTTCTCATCCAAGAAGCTTCTTCAGATCCTTGGAGTAATTAAAGCATTTGGTTTTTCTTGCCTAAGAGGGTCCTCTCCTGGCTGCAGTGGGGACTGGCAGCCTTTCCTTCTTCTGCAAGTGGGAAGCTGTCATCCAGTCAGCGTGCAGAGCATGTGTTGTAACAGTGACACCACCAGTTTCACAACTACAACTAAAAAAATCAATTCTTTGGGTTGCTGTGTATATTTTTTAGGGTTTTGTTTCCCCGAGAGATCAGCTTGTAAGCCTAGTAAGCAGTGGAACAAGAGACCAAGGATACATGAAACTCAAACACTTTGCTGCCATCTTGTGAATGAATAATGATTACATTGCAAAATAAATATATGAAAGAAGGGTGAATGGGTTGGAAGTAAGGTAAAGACCAAAAATTAATGGTTAGATGGAGTTGATGAGAGAGTCTGAAAGAGGAGTAAGAAGTTTAAAGAACAAAAGGCCCTGCACAAAGCAACATGGAGACTCCGTAGACATAAGGAAGGCTAGAGAAGTAGAGAAGAACAGACAATTGTGTTCATGTAATCTACATTTTACAGGAGTTTGTTTTCTCTCTACTCAAGCTTCTTACAGTTTCTCTATGCTTCACAAAATATCCTTGTCCCGAAAGGGAATAGTTTGATCGATATTTATGTCAACAATCATTCAGGTGCTCCTTCATTCAATTCCCACACGGCTTCTGACTGCAACGTAAGGAAGCCCTGTGGTGGAAAAAGGACTTTTGTTTTCTGTTATTAAACTTTCCCTGAAGAGAATTTGAATTCATAAGAAGAAGCCTGCACCATTACCAGCTATTTCATTACAAAGCCTGTGTGTTTAATTTCACTCTTGTTGTTTTGAAAAGGTCATAATTAATTCCCTTGTGGATTTCTACTAACCTTGTCTTCAGCTGCAGAAGATGTTACAAACAGTTGTCCAATCTTTTCTTGAAAACCTCCATCATGTCTGCATTATACTGATTAAATCATATTTACCACAGAGTTTAAGCTCTTCTTGGGTATTTAATTCTCATGTTCTGGACAACAACAAAGGCCAGTACGTTTTCTGGTTTTTCACTGAGTCTGTTTAAAGGACTAATATACAGAGGAGTTCCACAACTTAGCATACCACCTCAACTGGCCCAAAGACAGTTCCAACTCCCAGTGGAATTAGGGGAAATTCTATCTTAGCAGCCTTTCCCACACTGCTCGTCCATGGTGGCTTTGGATCAGCATAGAGGGACCCTGTCACGGCTCCATCTTCTCGTGCCAGCGGCTGCTCTGATTTATCGACTCTCACTTTAGACCGTGTCACCACTGGCTGCACTTCAAAGTCCACGAAACCAGCTGAGTTTTCCCACGCGGAAGCTTGCTTAGTTAAATATATTCCTGTTCCCCCACCCACCGGGTGTTCACATTGTCCAATAATAATACTTTTTGTTATGGGAACAGTTCACTTCTCCATCGAGCACCTGCGGCAATGACCTTGGCGTAGTGCAGGCTTTCATGGTCTGTGAATGGCTTCTTGGCATTCAAATTCCTCCCTTCATTTTCTACTACTCCCCCCTTTTCTATGGCAAGTTGATTAGTGATAGAAACTAGCAGGCATCATAACGATTCAATCCTGACAGTCTGCTTCTCTTCCTCGAACACTCAGAACCTGTGTGATGACCCAGGGCACGGCACAGAGGCAAAACAGTCAACTGGCAGTTCAAACCGCCCTTTATTTGCTCCAATTTTCCCCAAATGCTCCCACGTTTCTGGCAAGCCGCAGAACAAAGTAAGACACACACACCTTCAGCAGCCTCTGGCTGCAAGTAGTTTCACAAGTTTTTAACTCTTCAGGCAGGGAAAGTGTGTGTATGGAACAAGCCGTCCTCCTTCAGGTTTCGACTCACACACAGTTAGATTAGAAGAGTAATTTACTCAAGGCCATGTAGATAACAAGGAAAGAAACATACATCCAAAATCTAATGAGTGTGGAAACACAAGCTTGCCTGAGCAGTTTCAGAAGAGAAGCCAAAATTCAATCTGAGGTCTTTGAACACCAAATCAAAATTTGTCAGCCAATGGTCAGAGTTTCAAGGTTTCCAAGCAGAAATCACAGAAAAAGAGATCAGATAGTCTCCAGGTGTGCCTTGTGGAAAGGGGCAGGGTGCTCTCCTTCCCAGTAGTTGAGCCTGCCTGTGTTGTTCCCTCCTTCTCTCCACTCTCCGTGCTCTAGGATCAGGAGGGGGTGGCCCTTGCTCATCACCTGAGCTCTGCCTCTCATGTTCATCCTGTCCCAATCCTGAAAGGCCCTGGCCTGCCTCAGCCTGCTCTTTCCCTCATTCCTCTGAAGCCACAGACATCCCTCCCGAAGTCGGGTCCAGTTCCAGCTCATTTTCCTCAGCAGATTCAGGCTCCGAGGGGGCACGACAAGCTGCTTCATCTATAAGAGCCTGAAAATTGTCCGTGGGTTCTGATGGTGCAGATGCTTTGCTATGCCTTTGATTTCTGGAGAACCGGTCCTCTTCCTGCATTTGGAGAGTTGCTGCCACTGTCATGAATGGAGATGTTCATGGTCCTTTTTCAGTATTTGCCCATCTGCTGCTGCATTCCTCCCAACCGTTTCCTTCAAGGATCATTCTGAACACCTCGCAGTTGCTGCAAAAGTAGACCAGATTGTTTCAAAGAAAGCATTGAAGAGAAGAGAAAAGAGGAGAGGAGAGAGCTGTAAAGGACCTTGGAGGTCTTCTAGTCCAGCCCCCTGCTCAAGCAGGAGAACCTATACCATCTCAGACATGTGATTGTCCAGTCTCTTCTTAAAAACTTCCAATGACGGAGCACCCACGATTTCTGGAGGCAAGGTGTTCCACTGATTGTCCTCACTGTTAGGAACTTTCTCCTTAATTCCAGGTTGCTTCTCTCTTTGATCAGTTTCCAACCGTTGTTTCTTGACCTGCCCTCTGGTGCTTTGGAGAATAATTTGACCCCTCTTCTTTGTGGCAGCCCCTCAAATACTGGAATACTGCTATCATGTCACCCCTATTTCTTCTTTTCTTTAGACTAGCCAAACCCAAGTCCCGCAGCCGTTCTTCGTATGTTTTAGTTTCCAGGACTTGGACCATCTTAGTTACTCTTCTCTAAACTTTTTCCAAGGTCTCAACAACTTTTTTGTATTCACAACTGCAGACTTTGGTCCAAGGAATTTCACTTTTCCTTCTTAGCACACTACTAGGAAAGAGGCTTTTATTATTTTCTGGCTTTGTGCTTCTGTAAACAAATTAGGCTTTTAAAGTATTTTTTTTAAATTATAATAGCGATGTTAGTTCCATGTATACTTTAGTAAGTATACATGGAACTCAGAAGGGTATGTCTGGTTGAAAAGAACTAAAAAGTTTGAAATGGCTATTCCAGTTCTCCCTTAATTCTTTGTTAGCAATCCAAATTTTGAAAAACACTTTAGTAAGTGTAAACCACCAGGGGGCCTATGTGTGAAATATTTTAGCAATTGTTAACTGTTAAAAATCTGGCTTGAGACTTGTTGCAGAAGCAGAGTTAAATGGGGTTAACTTGATTAGGTCACCTGAATCCTACTGGGGGCCCACAAATAGGCATGCAAAATGCAGCGGCTGAGATTTTGTACTGTAATCATAGATATATTGCCTTGTTAAAATCATCCATGGGATTATTTTGTTCATTCTCTGCAGGAACAGCCCTTGAAGAAACTGCTACTTGTGAAGCCCTTGATGTGAGGGGCTTGATTCTTAAGGTTGAGCACCCTCCGATTGTGCCGGGCGATGGTTCCTGTGTCTTTCATGAAGGCAGCGTTCTCTACAGCACGGGCGTTGAAGAGATTACTCTAGCCTGTGCCCTGGCACCCCCAGTGGACAAAGGTAGGCTCTTGACTGCAGCTGGGTTATGTGGGTAACTTCCTAGGGTAGCTGTACATATTTAACACCCAAAAAGATATTTGGAAATCTCATTTTGTGCCCTCCGCAGCAAGACTTGTGCCTCTGTCCTTTGCACATGTTGGCTGGAATAGCGGCTCGCCTGGGGCTGAGTTACTCTTGAGTGAAGGAAATCAAAGGAAGCCGCCGTCCCTCCTCCAGGAGAGGAGGGAGGATGCCATGGGCTTCGTTCCCAGCTCAAAAGACCTGAAAGGGGTGAAGAAGGCAGAGCACAGAGCTCGGTAGAAAGGCAGGAGTTGAGGGTCACAATCTCTTTTCTCTTGCAGATGTTGTTTTTCTGAGCTTTCCATTAACACAAGAAGAAATTTTTTATGCCCAGAAGTGCCACGGCTTCCTTACGGATGTCATCTTGGATTCTATAAGACAGAAGGATCCTAAAGAAACCACTGCCAAAGTAGAGCTTCTGGTCCAGAGGTTGTGGGTAAGAAGGCATCTGCTGCCCTCCTGCCCAGAGGTGCTTGGGCTAGCAATCTTTGCCTTTCCCTTGTGGCTCCAAGCCCTGGGGCCCGATGGTGGGTTCCCGGCATTCGAGCTGCTCCTTCCCTCCCAAGGGTTCTTTCAGCACAGTTCAGCCTAGCAAGGCAGGGAGCGCCAGGTTCTGCCTCTGGAGTTTGAGTCCCTCATTTCTTACAGCGTCTGCAGATCACGGCAAAGGAGTTTGTGGCTGAGCTCCTGAATTCAGCGCCCTTTATAGCCGATGGCCATTCCTACGAGAAGTTGCTGAAGTGGGTTGAAGTAAGTGTGAATGACAGCTGTGCTTCCATCCACTTGAGGGGAAGTTGGCCTCCCACATGCAGGCGGCAGCTAAATGCACCCTTGCAGTGCAGGCCTCACTTTCATTGTGAGACCCCCTCCCCTCCTTTCCTGAGAACAGCCACCCTGGCACACATGAGGGATCTGACATCCAGATCCTCAGATCAGGCATGCCCAGTCTGGACAGGGGTTCAGGCAAGCCAGCCCCAAAGCCCTCTCCCCCACCCCCACCCCCACCCCATTGGCAGCCCAAAGTTCTCCAGGAGGTGGCAGTAAAACCGTAGAGTTTTGGTGGTGGGCCTTTTGCTCAGATGAGCATGGCAGCGTCTGGGAACCACGCCCACAAAACTTTTGACCCCTCCCCCTGAAAAGAGAATGAAACGGGGGGGGGGAGATCATTTCAACTGATGTCATCACTGCCCCCCCAGGAGGCCATCTGTGTGGCCGTTGCCCAGGGGGGAGGCTGAGGTGTGGCCTTTGGCCCAGCAGAAATTGCTAGCCAGCGTCTCTGTTTCCTTTCAGTTCACCCTGCCTTTTGCCTGGAAATACAGCTGCTGCATTAACTTGCTTATTAAAAAAGGGTACTTTAAATCACTCTCACATTTTGTTATTGGGAAATATTTACAGAACCCTTAATAAAACTGAAAAGTTTGGTTGCAGTTTGTTAGAAGTTTCTTTTTCATTTTGAAATTAACCTGATAAAAATAAAATGCACGCATATATAAAATACATGCCCGAGAGCATTAACAATGAGGAACAGCGTGTGAATGGCAAAAACATGTGATTAACAAAAAGGAAGGAGCTACAGCAGCCTCCTCTAGTTGTCTCCTGGACATCCTCCACAAACTTCCTAACACCGTCTAGGGAGGAGGGCATCAACTGAACTCTCACAACAGCAGCTCAACGGGCTGAAAGGTCCGAGCCAGAGGTGCCTCTGTTGAACTTGGGGGTCACAGAAAACTCCCAAAGGGGGGGAAGCTCCAGATTCAGAGAAATGGAGGCAACAAATGCCTCTTTCTTCGGGTGAAGGATGGAGACTTTGTCCTGCCAAGCAGAACGAGGCAAACTGCTTTTTTACCTCCCAGGAAGGCAAGTGGGGTGACCTGGAACTTGGCTTTTTGTGCAACTTGCTTCTGAAATCATTAGTAAGCACCAGGCAAGAAAGAAAGCTAGATTAACAAGGTTTAAGGCTCACACAGAAATGTTTGCTTCTGCATGTTTACAATTACTAAAAATTCTGTGTGAAACTAAACCCGTCAGGTGGGGAAAGCAAGCCAGCCAGCGAGCGCTTGGACCTTCTCCCGCCCTCCCGCCAGCCTTTGGGCCCGGCTCTAGCCACCCCCGACACTCGCCAACCCGCCCCCTCCCTCTCAGCCGCTGTTGCTCCCCTGTACCAGCCCTCAGACTAGCAGAAGAGGCGGACTGGACCCACTTCCCTCCCGTAGAGCTTGGGAGGAGGACAAGGGGTCATCGTAGCATCTGCCTCCAAGGGTCTGCCCAGCAATCAGGTTCCTTCTTTCCTGGCTGCGTTCAAACCTGCAAGACAGCAGCATCCTCCCTCAGCACATCTGGGAGATGCACAAGGAGACTCCTGGGCTGGAACAGGATGGGACCCTGCCCCAGTCTCTAGCTTGCATCGCCCAACAAGCCACCAGTTCCCTGCAGATGCAAGTCCACTCAGCACAGCTGTAGGTGGTCTGCACGGACCATCCTCCCCCTATGCCGCGCAGCAGCTATGGGGGAGAACTCTCAGGAGGGGGGCAAGTTTGGCCTGCCAAGTCCCATTTGCTTACCGCTGAAATATACTGGTTCTTGGGGAAACAGCCTTTCTCCATATCTGAGGAGGTTAAGAAGTCTGCTGCTGTGGGGAGCGGGGATCTCCAGTCCTCACACAAGTTGTGAAGGCAGCTGTCAGAACTGCTGGAGCCACTTCCAGGCAGGCCCTGGGAGGACTCAGAGCCCTCGGTGGCTAAAGGGAAAGAAGAAAACTCTGGGCACATTGAGAAGACACACAACCCTGTTGTTGTTGCTGGAAGAAGGGCGGAAGGGCTGCTCCTGCAGTCCCCCGTCCTCGGCACCTTTCCTACCTTTACCCCCCTCCCTCCTCAGCCACCTTCTCCTCCCAAACGGCTTTCTTGCCCGGAGGCGCTCCATCTGCGGACGAGGCTGCTTCCCCCCCCCCACCAGCTTTCCTAAACTGAACTGCGCTGAGCAGCCGGGTGGTGGCTGGTTAAAGGAGAAACCGCAGAGCTCCACATGGCCGCTCTGCCTTTTTACCAGCGAAGCAGATCAGCGCCGCCTCCAACGTCACCGGCTGCTGCTTTCTCCCAAGATCATTTATCAACAAGCCGGAAAAGCACAAGTAACAATTATAATAATAATAAAGTTGGAAGGGACCTTGGAGGTCATCTAGTCCAACCCCCTGCTGATGTGGCCTCTCTGAATATACCCGAAGGGCCAAAGTGACCTTTCCTGGAGGAGAGCCGCTCACCCAGAAGCCCTCCTTGGGCTTCTCACATACTGGTGGGACTAAATGGATCAGGCAGTTTGTAGTTCAGCATGTTGTTGTCACCAGGCCACGATATGAAGCTAGAATCTGGGGCACACAATGTTAGAGGAGCATTTATTAACCCATGTTTAGGTTTTAGCCCCAGGTGTCCTCCTGAGTCACCCAGGATCTCTTTCCTGCCGCTTTGAGAAGCGGCTGCTCAGAAGGTGCTCAGGGAGGTTGTGGCTTCCAAGGCAGAGGTTTGCTCCACAGGGGGCCAGGTGACCGTGCCCATGCTTGACCACAGCACCCAGCAGCTCCTTTCAGCTCTTATCTGGACAAATTATCACAAGAATTCTGGGTGCTGATGGGGGTCGCAGGATTAGGCCAACTTAAGAGAGATGTTGCAGGAAATCTCCTGGTGGACAATGTTTTCTGCAGTGGTGCTGGAAAAGGATGGATGATACGTACTCATGGAGGGCTGACTGCTCGTCTCGTTCTCCATCTCATCTTCCTCAGGGCAGACCCCAGCCCTTAAAGGAAGGTTGGTGGGCAGCACAGTAGGCAGCAAGGCCTGTTCCGGGTACATGTGAAGGTTGAGAGGCCCAATCCCGGAGCAGGAGGATGGGCTGCCAGCAGACAGAGTGGCCGGAGAGCTCTTGAAAGGGTTGGCGTGGTCAAAGAGAGACACAGCGATGGAAGCCCGAGTCCTGGCGCCTGCCGCAAAGAGAGGAATTCACCCTGTAGACCAGTGCAGCCTTGGACAGCCAAAGAACATGGGAGGAGCAAATTGGGGAGGGACCCACCTCTGCCTTTCATAATATAATTGATGGCTCGGTCCTGGATGGCAGCCTCACTGGGCCTGATGTCCAGGAAAGGCTTGTTCCCAACCCCCATGGACAGCATCTCCTGCATGCGGATTTCTAATGGGAAGTAATGGCAATTGTTAAGAAGCGCTCATGCCCCCCCCCCGTCCATCCCAATCCTTCCAGGGGGTGCAGCCTCACTCCAAATTCTCCGATTCTTCCACCCTGCTCCTCCACTGGAACGCAACATGCAACTGTCCCCCATCTATGAGTTTCCTACACACCCAGAATAACCTAGATGACAACAGGGAATATCCTCTTAGTCTGCAAGAATGGAGAATTCTGCTATCCTGTGGTGGGAAAGGAAGAAGAAATGGCCTTGGAAGCTATCAGGCAGCTGAGTCCCAAGTGGGCCACGAAGGGAAGGCAGAAGGGGCTGTTGGAGCGGCTGAAGAGACCCAGGCTCCAGGGGATCCAAGGCTGCCACGGAAGAGAGAGCGGGGGGGGGGGGAGAGCGGATAATATTGATCGACTGTGGGCCTACTTCTACAAGGAGAAGATGGTCTGAATGCAGCAGAAAGAAGCCCTGGGAGTTTCGCAGGCCTTAATTAACTTTTAGGGGAATTTAGCAATGGCTGCACACCTAGCTACACTTTTGATAGATACACAGCCACATCAGCAAAAGCAGTACTATTATCAGTATGGAGATAATTAAGCCAAGAACGGGAGAACAATTAGATGGCTAGGCAGATGCCAAGAAGGGTGGGGTAGAGCCAGAGCTGAGCTGAGGGCCATCTGCACATTATCAGGTTAAAATAGTTAAATTCACAGAGGAATTAATGTCTGTCTCTCCTTGGTATACCTGCAATATCAAGAAAAGAGGTAAAATAAAGAAAATAAGGCCAATGCAAAGCAGCAGGAGCAATTTTCGGCTCCTCACTAACTTTGTTTGGGGGAAGCTGGTAAGAAATGCTGGAGAGCAGTCATGGACCACCGCTCACTGTGACATCGTAACTGCAAGCCAGGCGCCCAAGCACCGAGGAGTGTTCAGTGCTGTTGTAACTTTGAACAGTCGCTGAACAAGTGGTCAGAACCTGAGGACCTGCAGTGCTACTAAATCATATTTCTATATAGACTTTCTAATGTTTCCTGTTTGTTCCCCGTATCGTGTGCAAAGAAACAACAATCCCTGGATCATGCAACCAGCAAAATACCAGATGCCTCTCCATCCTGCATGCTCCTCCTGGTCCTGTTCCCAGAACATTCAGCCTTGTCCTATTTTCCAGAATAGCCTCTTCTCCTGTGAAAACCATTCCAGGCACTTCCACAAGTCAGAAAACCGCCTGTAACGGTTTTATCAGCAGTCCTGGAGATGCCTAAATACGGCAACGGCAGCACCTTTGCCGTGAATGGAAGAGGGGAACCTGGAGGTAGACACTCTTTTGGTGCCTATTGGCACGAGACGCTGCACTGACCTAACCTTCCTTCACCTGGTCAAGGCACCCATCCTGCTGTCTCGCACCCTAACCCACCCCCCCCAGTCCCTAGCAGGTTCTGGCCAAGGACCTTACTTATGGTCTGCTCCCTAGGACTCTCTCATGCGCCCCCCTCCTTATTGGAAGCCAAATGGAGAGGCTGGGTGGGAACTGGCCTTTGTTGCGGGCAGCTTGTTCCCAGAGGATCCTGGTGATGTCGCTTGTCCAGGCCTGCTTGGCCTCTGGGCTGCTGGCTTGCAGGATGTAGGTGTCCCTGGATTTCCACCTTCTAAACCAGATCTCAAAGCACAGGCCGCTCTCCCCGGAGTTCTCTGTTAGGCCGATTTCTGCCATCTGGAGGGATGGAGATGAGAGTCCACTATGCATGATGCAGCTGAGACCGCCCGTGGGGCTGGGGGCAACTTCCATGGCGGACGAGGAATGGAGTTGGGGTCTGGGACAAGGAAGCCATGATGTCTGTGAGGCAACCCCTGCCTTGATCCTCTCAACAAGTCTGAGAGGCTGTGCACTGAGCAGCTGTGAGAAAGTCAGCTCCAGCCACTTGGCAAGGTAGATCATCTTTCCCTCAAAAGGCCACAAAACGTAAGATCCATCTAGGAAACGCAGCCCTTCAGGAGGAATCGCAGAAAAGCTGGGCATGGGACGTCCCGCACATCCAGTGGCAAGACAGTGCCTTAATCTGTGAGCCAAGCAGCGCCTGCTCTTGCCTCTCTCTTGTGCAGCCCACCCTCCCAACCTCGCTCAGCAACACCCGCTGTGGCGGCCCCCTGGAGAAGTCAGCACAGGCCCTCCTTGCCTTAAAGGAGCGCTTGTAGACGTAGACATCCAGGGCGCCCTCAACTCGCTTAGGCTTGCTGAAGAGGATCAGATCTTCGAAGAGGAAGATGTGGCGCTTGCACTTCCTTCGGCCCAGAGAAATGCTAAACTCGTCCTGGCGCATCAGCTGTCCCTGCTCCTTGAGGTTCACCTAGGCGGAGGAGCCAGGAGCTCAGTTATTCTCAGAAGAAGGCAGGTGCCCTCTCAGCAAGGCCCCGAGGATGCCACTGAAGGCGAGCAAGATGAAGCCCGGCCCCTTGCCTCCCCTCCCCTCCCCAGAGGTCCTAACCAGGTCCAATTCCACCTGGCAGCGAGGGATGGCTTTCAGGGGACGGCTGCTGCCAACAGCTCCCTGCCCGAGTGCATCCCTGACACGTGGGAAACGCCTGGCCCATGGCTTGTGGCTTGTGGAGACAGAAGCCCGGCAGCAGCTGCTCATGCAACAGCCCTGCGCACACATCCGTTTCCACCCTTCGTGGCCAATACGTACGTCACAGTCGCGGATGGCATCCATGGCCAGGAGGTCATTTCCGTGCCGCAGCTGGAAGCGCACCATCTGCTCCGCTGCTCGCAGGTACGCCAGCTCCTGCTCTTGGGCCTCCCCACCCGTCTTGATGAGATCCTTGAGGAGCAATGCGTACTTGCTCATGCGCTGGATGGGCTTCAGGAGGTAGGAGGCCAGGTTCATCTTATCTCCCAGCTGCATCTGCTTGAACTGCCGGCCAAGGAGAGCGGTCTCAGCAGGAAGGGGCCCCCAGAGCTCAGGCAGGGCCCCCGCGCCCATTGGAGGAGTTTGCCCCACTTACCCGGAAGAAAGCATTCCCGTGACTGGCCAGCAAGGAGTCAGACTGGGGCTTGTTCTTACTATACAAGGCATACATCCCAAACTGGTCTTTCTACAAGAAAGGACGGAAACACAGTCTAGCTGAGGATCTTCTCTCCACCTCCAGTAACATTACACCTTTTCAGGTAGTGGGGGGGGGGAAAGGCCACCACCATCACTCTGTGCTACCAGCAGAAGGACAGAGGTGGGTACCAGGATTACTGACTTGCTCCAACCTGTTTCCTGGTAATCCCCCTACCTACAGAAATCCTTCCAAGACTCATTATGACATTCCTGCGCGGAGGGCTGAACTTCAGTCATTATGAATACCTATTAACATTCTAGTAATGGCACTCAGATTTTTTTCCCTGCATAATTCAATTGTTCTGTGGCAAGAATAACATTATGAAGGGTCAATTTTTTATGCTCAAAAGCAATTTTATTCGCACGCTTCAGAGACATTCCTGGGCTGCAAATTTGCTCTAGATCGGACCATTTTGAACAGCAATTCATCATGAACCAAAAAAAGATCAGAAAGGCAGCTTGAGAGAAGAAGGAAAACCAATCTGGGGAGTTTTCTAAGCCTGTTGTGAACAGATTAAAGTCGCTGGCTTCTCTAAAAAGCCTGGGACCAGACTGACGCTGGCACCAAGGGGATGCTGGGAAGGCAGTGACTCTAAAAGGGCAAATGGGCAGGAAAAACAGGCAGCCGAAGGGCACGGGGCTCCACCCTCTTGGGCTGGCGGCTGCTCTCTGCCCGGAGTGCCGGGAGGGGTGGGGTCCGCAGCGGCCTTTGAGCAGCAGCAGGGAACTCTGCTGGAGCCTGCCCAGAACTTCCCTCTGCCAACATCTGGTGGGCTCAGCTCCTTCCCTCTCCTGCAGCCGCTCTCGGCCACCAGCTCACCTCCTCCTCTGCATTGGGCTGCCATGGATCCCCCCAGGAAACCCCTCCTTCCTTACGTGTCTGAGGAAGCAATGGCTGACTCGCAGAGGATGGCTGCAACAGTGCTCCAATTCTCTCAGGAAATACTGGCTGTGGAAGTTGTACATCTTCTCCAAATTCCCAAAAATGACACTTTGCTTTCCCCTCAGGTCTTGAGGCAGGTCCACCCGCTCCATTTCAGGAAAATAGTTGTCAAGGATGTAGCGCAAAGATCGCACATACTCCTGCTCTGTCCTCACCATCTCCTCCATAATATGCTGCGGTTTGCTGCAACACAGAAAAAGCAGACTAGGGCATTTTGGCACGATGCCTAATCAAAGCGCTGCATCCAACCTTTGCCTGGGTCATCTGCCCCTCCAGGGGTCAAGAGAAAAGAGCCCTAAAGCTGCAAGGCCATCACGGCGTCACAAGCTGGCAACCGACATCACCCACTGGAGCCGGCCAGTCCTCGTTACGTGAGAAGCAAGGGGAAGACGCACAACACAAATAAAGAGAACTTCTTGGACCAGGCAAGGCACAGAGACTTCTCCCCCGTGTTAAAGCTGCCCATCTCTGCTTGGCCCTCGTTCTTTCCCCCAAACTCTTCCAAACTGCCCCTCACACTCTGGCATTAAGGGCTGCGGTCTTCCTCCACCTGAGACACCAGGGCCCACATGCCCTGCAGGGAGGATGACTCTGAGACCAGCTACCTGCTGCTTTGCACGTCCCTCGGCAGCCAGACCCAGAGCGCAGCCCAAACCCACCTGCTCCAGCTCCTGGTCTCTGGCACAAGGCCCCTCTGCCTCTGAGCCTCTTGTGGGTGGAAGGCAGGTGAGGCAGCTGAGCCGAGGGGCTGCTGGCCTTCCCAGGGCCCACCCACTGACTCCGGGCTGCTGACTTCTAAGCCTTTAATCCAGACTCCGGTGCTGCCACAATGGCTCGGGTCAGCCCAAGTCCGAGGTTCCTCTGAGCTGGGGAGGTCAACACTGCGGGCCTTCCTCAGTCTCCTTCTGGAGAAGAGCTGTTCAGAGGAAGGGGCTTCCCCTGGGGCTTCCTGAGGGTCTCCCCCATCGCAGAGATGGCACGATGGCTTAGGAGTGTCAACAGCAAGCCGACAAGAGTGGCTGCAAGCAGTCTGGAGCAGACCCCCTCCAGCTCCATTGCAAGTGTCTACTGTGGGAAGCTGAGCTGGCTTTTCAGGTAGAGGCGCCATGTTGGGAGTTTGGGCCAGAGGACTCCTCTTGTCTGGACTGGCCAAGCGGGACTCTCCCTCTTCCGAGGGCCTCAGGTTGGGAGGACCTGGTGGTTGCTGGATCCTCAGCGCAGCTTCTAGCCTCATCTCCAAGCCACGCTTGGTCCTCTGACACTGGGACCAGACAAGCTGCCACTTCTTAAGAGGATCACTGCTTGGCAGCAGACAGGCCAGCTTCTTCATATTTTGGAATTGGGTGTCACTCATGCCTGGGTGCTGCTCCCAGTAGTTCTGCAGACCAGACCCAACAGCAGCAGAACCGTTGTCCCCACTGAGGCTGGCAAGGAACCGCGTCCCCTCCTCTGCCCACTTGTGCGCCTGCAGGGGAGGAACAGAAGCAAAAGCTCAGAGGAAAGGAAAAAGTGCTCGGAGCTCAAAGAAGCTGCTCAAGCTAGACCCAGTTCTCCTGGGAGCCTTCAGCTGGACCCTTCCGGGATCTTGGATAAAGAGAGGACTAGGCTTGTTCAAGGCCCAGGTGGGACACCTCCAGGCAATTCCAGGTCTACAGGCTGGACTGAGAAGTCGAAACCAAAGAAGAGACTCAACCCCTACCTACCTTGTGGCCAAGGAGAGAGCACTGAGTGCCAGGGCAAAGGAACCTTTGGCTTTTCCCTGCTCAATAGGCAGCCCTGGGACTCCTCAAGGACTCTTCAGGATATAGCCGGACTTCTCCTCCCCCCCCCCCGCCCACAGCCCTCGATTTCTCTGCTGCTGGTGGGACGCTTGGTCAGGGCCAGGAGGGTCTTAGCAGCCAAGAGGGACGGGCTAATTGCCAGCCCACAGGAGAGGGTAGAAAAGACCACTTTCTTTTAATCTTTTTGGCAGGCAAAGTACCAGCTGTGTCTCTTCAGAAGAACTCACCTGTTCCAAGAATCTGTAGAGCTCAACCGCCTGCTCTATCCGACTCCTGGTGTCCTCCAGATCTCTGCAGAATCCCTGCAGCTGGTTCTTGTACTCCTGCAGCTGGACTCTGCAGCCTGCCTGGTGTCCCGTGGCCAGTGGATCTTCCTCCCCATCCCACCTCCTCAGCGCTTCCCATCCCCTCTGGCAATATTCCTGAAAGCAGAGCACAGCAGGCTCCTTAGCCAAGCACGAAAGAGAGCCAGTCTGGTCTAGCGGTGGAGGCACCAGGTTAGAAAGCAGGAGATGGTGAATTCAGGTCCTGCCTTAGCTATGAAAACTGGTCTGAGTGAGAACCAATTTCTCTTGCTCAGGTCTCTCCCACCCCCCACCCCCCAAAGTCTGGCCATTAGGAGAGCTAAGCTCCTGCTAAGGAGACCTTCTTTCCTTCCCCCCTCCTCCCCCTCCTCACTGCTGTCCCGGGGTGCAGCAGCCACTAGCCCCCCCCCCCCCGACCTTCTGGAGAGGCTGCTGCACTCCCAGATCTGCTCCAGTCAGCTTTCCCATCTCTGGGTGAGAAGCAAATTCCTGACTCCAGGAATTTGGGGGGGGGTAGGGGGCTCTGCAATGCTCTCACCTCTTCACCCAGCCTTCCCAACTTTTCCTTCCTCCTTCCTTTTTTATGAACATTATTTTTATTCAACAGTTTTATACCATTTTAATGTCCTGTTGTATCACATTCTTTATTGTTACATTTAATAAAGGTGTAAGGACCTGCAATAGGAAATAATATATAAGAGAGAGGGAGAATGCATGGACTGTAGACCTTACATCTGCCGTAAGTGCCAAATCCTGGCACTGCCTTTGGGCTTGAAGCAGCCCAGCCAGAGAACTGTCCAGGGGGTTCAGCTCCAGGAGGCGCTTTGCACCGACATTCTTGATCCAGCTGCAGATCTGAGAAAAGGAAGCAAAAAATGCTGGCTCAGGCCGGTCAATGGCAAGAATGGCCCCCTCTAGCTCAAACTATGGGCCGATCTGATATCTGGAAAAGATTTAATTGCTAGGCTGTGGCCGTGAAGCACAGGGAAAGAGCCACAATCAAGGCCATGATCAGGTAAGCAGAGCCTGAATCCATCCAAGAAATCAGCACACAGCACACACACTCTTTGAAAGTCAACTGCACAAGAGAGAGCACGTGGGATCACACAGAGATCCATACATTAAAGCAACATACTGCAGAGTATTCCATATGACATGGCTGTTTATCTGAAGAAATCAATACAATGGAGAACCGCACGGGTAGATTTGATTGGGGTGAATTGTAGTGGCTGTCACAAATATTTGCATCCCTTTTAGTTCTGCCTTTTACTCTATCTTGTAACACATGGTTTTATTATTGTTCTCTATTTTGTATTCTGATGTGGACTAATGACTAATTTGTTACAGTTGTTAATCCAAAAAGGTAGTTTGAGTAAACATCTCAGACAGTTACTCCCCTCCCCCCCCCAGTTCACATGAAGATCAAGAAGAGCCGGGACAGTTGCGTCACCCCCGTCAAGGCTTCCCAAGAGGCTACCCTCAAGCACGGTCAACACTCCTTCAATATTATAAAATGCTTGAGATTATCCCTTTCCTCTTTTGAAGTCCACCCATCTTCTCAACACCCTTCCCTAAAAAAGAAAGACAACCAGGACTGATGGTTCCAGCAATGTAGGTCAGGACCGTTTCAGTGGCACTCGGTCTGAAGGATAAGGACGGTCATGTGGATGATCATTTATAGACACCCCATTGCAAAAGAGGGCAGTTTACAACATTCAGTAAAGTTTAAAGCAATTAAAAGCATAACCACAAAGTACAATACCCCATACAAGAACAGCTGCAAGTCAAAAAACACAACAGGAGCTCCACCAACACACCAACCTCAGGCCTGGGACTTTGCAATATTCAACAAGGACTTCAACAATGTTACCCTCAATCAGGTTCACTTTCCAGACATTCCCCTAAAACCACCCAGGGGAGCAGCTGAGCTGGAGCAATTCAGTCCATGCATGACAACCACAGCCATTGCTAACGATGGGGGTGGAGGGGAGATTTCTTTTCATACTGTTTTTGTCACTGCAAATTGGCAGTAATTTCATGGAGTCATCCAATAATACCTCCACATTATCAGAATTCCTTGGAGGTCGAAAGAAAGTCCACTGAAAATATGAGGTCTAGCTGGCTGCTTATTTTTCACTCCCCCAAATTCAGGGCAGCCCTGACAGCCCAAAGGCACCCGTCTGATAGCCTTGGAAAACATCTGGCACTGACTTCTTGGAAGCACTGCTCCACAGCTTCCAATCCCATCAGCAGTTCCAGGGCTCGGATGCGCCTGTTAGAGACCAGCACCAGCTGGTGGGTTCCTTCGTCCACTTCTGCATAAAGAGCACCAGCCACTTTCACAGCATCTCTGAGAGAAAAGCAAAGGCCAATCAATGAAGTTCCAACCCCGCCTGTCAGGGCTAGTTGGATGCGGGAAACCAGCTCACCTCCCTATTGAAATGGCCTGGAAGTATGGTCTGGGGATATTTTCAATTTGTCTTTTCCCCACCTGTTTGCTTCAGACCTTGCCTGACTTTTGCTGCATTCAGTTTGTTCTTGGTAAAAGTACCTTTCCTCTGAATCTATGGAGTCAAAGGTTTTCTTTCCTAGGAACTGATCGGAGGCAGCCCTGACACCAACGGATTCTGCTTGCTCTACTCTGTCACCGCTTTGTTCTCAGTAAAGTATACTCTTGGAAAAAGAAATGAAGCAGGAGTCTTTATTTGCTAATTAAACTAAGTCGGATGGGGGACAGTGGCCTTGCAACGTGTAGCTCACAGTGGCCTGTATTAAGTTTGAGGGTCTGTGGTGCTCTCCGAGCTTGCTTGTTTTCATGCAAACATTTCATTAACTAGATAACATCATCAGTGCTGTATTAAGTTGTATTGGAACATTCCCATTGCAATCCCTGAATCTCAAGATGCGTGTCATGTGCTCAGCCCCACCATACCCATCAGAAGGAAAACCTCTGATCATACCAGATGCTTCGTAAAACAGCTTCTGAAGAATGGAGCACACGTAAGGTGGCTGTCTGAACTCTGCAGGCAGAGCACAATTTGGGGATGTTATGGAGCACTGCGGTGAGTCCGGTCATCACCCACAGCCCATCCAAAGGCTTTGGGATTCCCTGAGCTGCAACCCTGGAGGCTTACTTGGTTTACTTTTTGCTAATCAGTTAGCTACAGTGTGCAGGACGCGCACGGCAATAGACTTTAATTGATATCAACTGGGAGAAAAACTCCGCAAGTGGGAGATCAAACAGGTTCCTGATGAACCTAGCTTGCAACCTTAGTAAAAGATGAAAAAAGCCTGGATTCAAAAGTGAGCACTATCTGGCTGCTGAGATCTCTGTATACTATTGTTTTAAATACATTTTATTGCAAAATTCCCAGGGAGAATCTCGCTTTTGGTTGAAGGCAGCTTAACTATTAGATGGGAATAGCCAAGGGCTTGGACTTCCAGGGGGAGAAAAGGATGGATTAGCCCATTGCCAAAGAGCAGAGATGATGCCCAGGTGGAGATGGCAGCTGGGGAGGGAGCCAGGGACAGTGGAGTGTCTCCAGATAAGAAGCAGAAGCCAAGAAATCGCTCAGGTGTGCAGCTCCTCAGAAGAAAACCCAGAGGAAGCCTGAGGGCGATTCACACATGGGAGGAGTGGAAGAAACACCAAGCTGAGAGCTCAAGAGGGGCCGGTTCAAGGACCCCGGGGGTCGCCCCAAACTCCACTTTCGGATCACAATGATGTAAGAAGCCACAGAGATCTTCTGAGCAGCAGAGCAACTGACTGATCTTTGGACTCAAATTAAAATAAAAAGCAAAGAAATAATTATAAAGATTTAAAAATAAACAAAAGCAAAAAAGCTTGCAAAAAGTCTGCATTAAGAAACTTTAAAACAGATTAAGTGGGCAGTTACATTTGGAATAGCATTTCCTTTAAAGTACTATTGAATTAATTAAAGACTTAAGAAATACATAAGTGGGAATGTTTAAACTTGCTACAAAGGATGATTGGTTAGTTTCATTAAAGAAATAAGGGAAACTTGCAAAAAAAAAAAACCACCCATGTGACTATAGAACTACAGAGTGCCAAATGGGACTAAAGAATTAAGAATACAAAGAAAAAAAAGGGGGGGGGGAGTTAATGAGATCCCCGCAAAGAAGTCCACGGAAGGGAATGGCAGGGACACTCCCAGGGGGAAGAGCCTTGTTCCTGCAGAGTTGGCGCCTTCGCATCGCCTGCCCCCTCCTTGGCCCCCCTGCTCCCTACTCCCACAGCAGGGTCACCTGCAGTCCTCAGACAGCGTCCCGCAGGATTCCTCCTTCCTGAGGCTGGCCAGGAGGGCACCCCCCTCCAGCTGCCACCTGGCCAGCCTTGGGTCATCCAGAACCATCCTCATCATTTGCCTGCAGCTCTTCAACAGGGCACCAGCATCCTAGAGTGAAGGAAAGACACGCAGGGCTGCTTCAGGCTCCGGCCTTCTTGCCAGAGGGAGGGCAGTGAGCCACCTTCGTAGCCACTGGCAAGGGGGCGGCTGGCCCCTCCAGGGCCTTTGCACCCAAACCCAAAGGTTGGAGGAGGGTGTGGGTTTTTTTCTTAAAATGCCCCCTTACCACAGGCACTCGGCCCAGGGAACCTTTGCTTCTTATCAGGATGGAGCCAGAGACTCACCTGGGGTTTCTCCGGCCATCTGCTGGACTCCACCGTTTCTACAGCCTCTTTGAGGAACAGGCGAGCCTCTTGGCACCCGGAAAGGAAGCGCTCCAGACGCTGCAAGTTCAGCACCACCACGTGGGTTAAGCAGCCATTCGCCTGCAGCAGCTCCCAAACCCAAGCCAAGGCCCTATTTTCTCCTCAAGGAAAAGGCTTTGCCACTCCACCTGGACAGGAGAGCCTGCCTTTCCAGAGGAGCCGCCCCGGGCCAGAAGCCTTCCCCAGCACACTCCCACCCGCCTCTCTGGGGCACCAGGACCCCCTGCGTCCCACTCCTCTTGGCCCTCTGGAAACCCCCCCCCCCCACTTAATCCATTGCCCCAAAGAAAACAGTCTTTCTTCTTAAACATCTGGAGATCAATGTTCTTAACCGATATACCCAGTTCCACGTTTTCTGAATGTTTGCTTATCTTTGCATGAATATGATCAGAACATCAGAATTTGTTCTTTTGTAGATCTTGCTGGTTTCATGATATTATCTATATGTGTTTGGTCTGTTGTTCTCTTAAATATTACCTGAACGTGTCAGTCCTACCAATGTATAAAGGGTGTCAGCCCCCATCCCGGAACCCTGCTGACTTCCTGCCACGGGGGAAATCCACCCAAAGGGAAATGCTGGAGGGGGGGAGGCACTTGCATCAAGCCCACTGTCAATACCATTGTTATCCATCACGTCATGTCATGTGCCGGTATGAAAAAGTAGATTCAGGAGGAATACTAGCCCCTTCTCCAATTAACTGTATGAAAAGATGTAAGTTTTGTGAGCTGTAGCTCCCTTCGTCAGATGAGGCTCTCAATAAAATGGGCTGACTGGAAAAGGTATTACTAGACTCCTGCTTCATTTTTACCTCCTGAAGCTAACACCTTACATTCAATCCCAGAGCCCTGCCCTCCTTCTAGCTGCTATGCTGGCAGCCAACCATCCTCGCACCTGGAGGTCAGCCTCTGGCCAGCTCCCCTGCGCGAGAATCCTGCCCATTCCTCTGTGGAAAACTGGCCTGGAGGGAGGGGAGGGGGAGTGAGCTGCTTGTTTCGGGTTATGCCACCACATTTTCATGGTCTTTAAATCTGAATTTTGCCTTATTCGTTCCAAATCATGGCATCTGTTCTTCTGTAGATCTTGCTGGTTTCATGATATTATCTCCATGTGTTTGGTATGTTGTTCTCCTGAAGAATTCTCTTATTCAGATCAGAGTTTGTGCTTCCTTACATAATGGCAATTACCACCTATATACTTGGTACCTGGTACGAGGCTAGCCTTTCGGAATGCAGGGCTCGGTTTCTGCCAGACCTTTATGCAGCCTGAAATGTCCTATTCATCTGGCCACAGAGCGTTCCTCCCAAAGCATGGAGGGCCATCCAGCTGCTTTCTGGGAAACGGGAGCATCGCCTCCTTGGCGAGCGGGGGCTTCAGCCCAGCTCTTCTCTCCTGAATCCCATTTGCATCCACGGCAAGAAGAGGCCTAAGAACCGCAACAGTTGTTCTGAGGATCCTCCAGACGGTCTGCTAGATCGATTTTGACAGGAAGTCGCTTGAGAAGATTCACTGTTGACCCAATTGTGTGTCTAACTTTGGATTGATGGAGTCCTGGAATTCTAGAAATGGTTTTGTAACTTCCATTTTGGGGCAGCATACCACACCCCTAGGATCTGCCCAGTGGGAGCCACCTCCAGTGGCTTTGAACAGGCACTGCCAAAAGTAATAGCAAATCATAAGTGGCGTCACAGGACAACACAACCCGAAGGACCAGTGCATCTTCCCCACTTCGTATATAAATGTATGTTATACATTCAACCCTGGTTCTCATAATATTCAATGGCAAAATATGCAAAAATTCAGAAAGTCCACGAGAGAGAGAATACTTTTTCATAGAACTGTAGATTTCCTGAAATTCTGGATTAGTCAAAGGTTATGTTTTCATGCCTGCCTCACCATTTGGAAGTGCAGCCAATCCTGATGGCAATAGGGAAGCGACCCACCGAATTCTTGGGGCAGCTGCTGGCTCTCAACATGTTTGTGGAGGGACTTCAAGGAACTGAGAAGTTCACACTGTGGAAGAGAAAGGAGAGGCATTCTCACATCAGACCAGCTTACCTTTCCCCAAATACTGCACAAGACTGAAAACTGGCAATCACTAACCTCCAATCCATATCACCTCTCCAGTTTGGTTTGTTTATTATTTATGTATTAAATTTATGTGCCGCTCATCTTTTTAGAAATGACTCTGGGTAGCTGACAAACATTAAAACTAGTACAGCAGGATTGCCGTGGGGCTGCTTCCTCCTCCTTTACAAAATCTTGCTTTTAACTTCCCCAAAGCTTTGGGATGCAGGACAACAGAATCAGACCAGCCCAAGCCGAGGATCCCTGAACCCCGAGCCTCCTCGCACCTGCACAGCAGCCGGTTCTTCTACCTGGATGGTGCGGCCTCCCTCCACAAGGAGCAGGGCTCTGTGGATGCAGTGGGGGATGGTCTCCTGCAATGATAAAATGCATTTTTCTACAGCTCCTGCTCCAGTCAAAAGTTTTCTTTGACATCCAGCTACAGAAGGATTTGGCAGGAACGTTCTCTCCATTCCTCTATGAACAAGGAAGGAAGAGGCCAAATGGAAGGACTCCAGAACCGCAGACGCTTGCCTTAAGGCCAGGCCCTTCATGCCTCAGCGGTTTCTTACCCAAACGTTCCCAGCACCTCCAGGGCATCTAGACCTGGTGTGATGGGACACTGGCAAAGAACTGGGAGAGGAAAACAAGGGCTCTGTGTGCCCGGTGGGCACCCAGCAATGGTAGAACAGCATTCAGAAGAAGGAAGTCTCACCTGCAAAGTGCCTAAGGCTGTAAAGACAGCTGGGACTGGAGAAGATCGCCGGGCATCTACCAGGATGGTTAAGCCCAAGGCTTTGCGCTCCGGCCTGAGGATGGAAGGGAATAGGAGACAGGCAGTGTTGCTACTAATCGGGACCAGCGGCTCCTTTAACTCCTCCGCCCCTGCAGGCTGCCTTCCCAGGGCAAAGACTCCCTACCAATAAAGGAGAATATCTGTAGCCCAGGGCTGAAATGGGGGCTCCTTGTCCTCTCTTGAGCTTGGTGGTGTTCTTGCAGGCTTTCATTACCCAAACTAGGTAACATCATCAGTGTTAGTGATGCACTGATGATGTTACCTAGTTTGAATAATAAAACATCTGCCAAAAAAAAAAAAAGCTCAGAGAGCACCAAGGAGCCTCAAAGATCTCCCAGTTCTTCCTCTGCACCTCCCCCCCCACCCACCCCACCCAGTCCGAAGCAGCCAGAAGTCTTCCTCTGGCCTTGTAGGTCTCAAGGCTGAGGGCAGGCAGGCAGGCAGGCAGGCAGGCAGAGTCACCAAGCCAGAGGCAACAGTAACAGGGTTTGTTAGTTTCTTAATGGATGATAGTAGTTCCCCCACCAAGTTTCAAACTCTACCATGAGGGTCTACAGCACGGGTGTCAAACTTGCTGCGTCTCGTGATGTGTCGCAACGTATCATGACTTTTTTCGCATTGCCGGAGCTGGGGTGGGCGCGGTCTGCGCATGATGCAACCTGCCCACGGGCCGGCATTTTGACACCCCTGGTCTATAGCTACTCAAAATATTCCTTGAGATCAGGGAATATTTACACAGAACAGTGAATAATTATAGCGGTATATCTAAGCTGCCGTATCTGGGATTTCCAGAAGACATGGAAGTTTCAAAGCCAGCTAAGAGCCACATCTGTTTTTCTCCACTTGCTGGAAATCTACAATTATAAAGCTAAGAACTGACAGAACAGTTACAGTATTCAGTGCACAGAACACTCGTTGACCGTGTCTGCCTTGCCTTTTCCCACAAACCTGAGAATGCTGCGTAAATACAGGAGAAGGCGGGTTATTTCACTGGCATTGCAGTTCGGGCACAACCAAATTGTATTCCTCATTGTGATGATGACCACAGCACGCCCATATCTGTCTCTGGTACCTGAGAAAGAGGCTCCATTTAATTTGTCTAAGTAATTAGGCAAAAAGAACAACCAAGACCCCTTGAAGTGGCCACGTATTGCCCTCCAATAAACAGAGAAATGCCTTTTTCAACCTATCTCATGAATGAATGGATACAAACATGGCAAAATGTTTGAAATAGCAGGACGATAGAAGTTGAAAATGATCAGCAGAATAGGAGAAACACAAGCTCAGGTCTGGTTCTGAAAGCAGAGTTGGGCCCACATAGACTACCACTTGTTTTCTTCGAGGACAGATCTTCCTGACCCTCACTGGGAGTCTGGCTGCAGAGAGCCATAAACCATTTTGGGGGGAATGGCTTGTCCCCCAACCCAGCTGGCAACTCAGGCTGGTTCTCTTATGGATCCTCGGGTCCACCACTTCACTCTACAAAGATTTCAGCTCTTCCTGCTCTTGCTTAGAGCCCCTGACTGCCCACTGTTCCTCTGCAGCGGGGGAAAGCCAGACTGTGGTTGTCCTAGGGAGACCGCCCAGCAGTGCAGAGGCTCTGGCTGCTTCTTTGGGGAGGGGGCCAACGCACAAAGGCCCAACCTCCAGGGAGAAAGTGGAAGTGTTTTTCAGGTTCGCAAATAACTCTTTCCCTGACCATTGCCTTCTTCACAAATCATAAAAATAGCAACGACCTCTGGAGGCTTTACCTGGCAGGCACGCAGCCCCACTCCAAAGCATCTCCCAATTCACACTCTTCATTGGCAGGCTGCTGTTATCAGCTTCTTCGCTGGCCTTTTCTGTCCCACTCGATGATGCTTCTGTAACAAGAAACAGCTTTCAATGCTAAGAGTTCAATTATTCCCATTTGCATTCAGAGACAAAGCAGATGCACATTGATTTATCCTGCCTCTTTGCAATTGCTCTGAACTGGACAAACCCAATGAGGTTTACCGTAGGTGATGAAACATCTCTTCTTGCACACACACACACACACACTTACACCTGCTATTGCGGAGCAGCCTGCGCTTGCTGCCAAACCTTGGAACTTGGGAGTCCTAGTGGACAATCACTTAAACTTAAATTTAAACTTAAATCGTCCTAGTCAACGACCATCCTAGTGGATGATCACTTAAACATGAGCCAGCCATGTGCAGCCAAAAAAGCTAATATGTTATATAAACAGAGGCATAGAATCAAGATCACGCAAAGTATTAGTACCGCTTTATAAAGCCTTAGTAAAGCTACACCTGGAATACTGCAGCCAATTTTGGTAACCACATTACAAAAAAGATGTTGGGACTCTGGAAAGAGTGCAAAGAAGAGCAACTAAGATGATTTAAGGCCTGGAGACTAAAACATATGAAGAACGGTTGCAGGAATTGGGTTTGGCTAGTCTAGAGAAAAGAAGTAGGGAGGACATGATAGCAGTATTCCAGTATTTGAGGGGCTGCCACAAAGAAGAGGGAGTGAATTTATTTTCCAAAGCACCAGGAGGCAAGACAAGAAGCAATGGATGGAAACTAATCAAGGAGAGAAACAACCTGGAATTAAGGAGAAACTTACTAACAGTGAGGACAATTAACCAGCGGAACAGCTTGCTACTAGAAGTTGTGGGTGCTTCATCACTGGAGTTTTTCAAGAACAGACTGGACAGTCACTTGTCTGAAAAGGTATAGGGTCTCCTGCTTGAGCAGGCGGTTGGACTAGAAGACCTCCAAGGTCCCTTCCAGCTGGATTCTGATGTATTGCTTAGTTTGTACTCTTAGAAGTCCTCCTCTGCTAGGAAACAGCCATGGGGGTGAGGGGGAGGCTGGTCGGAGCCCTGATTCTTCCTGACTCATGTAGCTCTTGCCAGCCACCCCACAATAGATGTAAATGACTATTGTTGTGTCCCGGGCTCACGTGATCCCCTTTGCGACCTTCTGACAAGCGAAGTCAATGGGGAAGCCAGATTCACTTAACAACCAGGTTACTAACTTACCAACTGCAGTGATTCACTTAACAACTGTGGCAAAAAAAGTTGTAAAATGGGGCAAAACTTACTTCACAAATGTCTCACTTAACAACAGAAATTTTGGGCTCAATCCTGATCGTAAGTCGAGGACTACCTGTACAGCTTTTTTTTTGGATGAGTGAGAAGCTTTGTTCCTTTTTTGTGAACAATCATGTCATCACAACTTTTGTCGTGTTGCTAAATTTTGGCAGTATAATCTGGGAGTTCTGGTCTAGCACAATAATTGTCAAGATGTTCATTTTATACACAATTTGCAAGCTCATTCCTGTGCAATAAGACAGAAGTCTCCAGCACTGCACAACGCCCACGTGTGAGACACTCCCTCGGCCCGGCCCGGCCCAGCCCGGCCTTCGTGCCCTCCTGATTTTGGGGAGACGAAGGCTTAGTAGGTGTGTAGGCTATTCAGTTGGAAACTAGCATACTGCAAAGTGAACGGACAGCCACCAAGCACAATCTTCATTTCCAATAATGCCAGATGACCCACGAGGATTTTATTTAGAAAAATCAGCTCACCACAGCCTAAAATGAGCACTGCGATTCTTTAAACATGCTCAATTTGACAAGGAAAAAATAAAAAAAAGATAAACTAGAAATTATAGGAAGCATCCAGGGGCTACAGGGAGTTTGCTGTGGTAATTAAATGACCTCCCCTGTGCAATACGACAACTGTGTCACAAATGGGCTAACCTCTCTGAGGCAATTCTTTGCCGAAAAGCCCATGGCATATTTTCAAAATCCTAAATATGTCCCCTAGCCGAAAAGGTTGCTGGCCTCTGCAATTAACCCCTTTAACGTTCTGAACTTGGAATTCCTGCCCTTCTCATGCGCTTGCACACTCGGTCTGCCACGAGACCATTTTCCCAGCAAAGGGCAGAAAGTGCCCGAATGCATCATACCTGCGGCCTGATCCCCCTCTGGGATGGGCCTGGTGCGCTCAGGCAATGTCACAGCTGGAAACAGCGCTGGGAGAGAGGATACCAAGGAGTTCATCTCCGGGTCGCTAGGCTGAAACTGGCAGGGAGCTTCACGGATTGAGTTGTGCCCATTTTCCAGGAAGGCCCCCACGCCTGACTCCTTGTCTGGGGAAGGGGCGTGCGATGTGCTTGAGAGACCGGGCTGATCCACAGAACATGCTGCAGCAACACCTGGGTGAAGGTGACTGCAGGGGGGCCCTGTCTGTTCAGAGACTTCTGCTGGAGGCCTGGGGCCCTTTTCCTTCAGCTCTGTTCTTGCGCTCTTGGGCTCAGCCTCAGAACCGGGGAGCAGAAGACTGCCTCCCGCTCGCTCTTGACAACCGTCCGCATTTTCTTGCCCTGCCTTCTGGGAAAGGGAGCTTTTCGGGATCAAAGGGTCTCCAGAATTAAGCTGCCACTCATTCTTAGGGGGGCTTTGTGTAGTCTGCCATTGGTGATTTCCTTCCATGCTTATTCTATTGCCCAACTCCATTACCGATTCCTCTGGTGTCCCTTCCACGTGTTCCAACCATTCAGAAGACGGACCTTTAACTTCCACCAACTGTGTCTGGGAGGACGGGTGATCAGCCCCTTTCCTCCTCGAAAAGGCTCCCACCTGTGATGATTCCATTGTGGTTGGAGAAGGTGCCTTTCCCTCCAGCCTTACTTTGGAGCTGTCAGAATGGCAGCTTCTGATCTCCCCCTCGGTCGGGAGACGGCCGCCTATTCGGTCTACACCCAAAACATCAGGACGGGATGCAGAAGGCTTGGGGAACCCTGAGCTGCCTCCCGCTCTGGCAGACGGGCCTCTCCCCGGAGCCTGGGCTTCAGCCTCCTCTCCATCCTTGTAACCACACGTGGCATACCGCCAATCAAGCTCCCGTTCCGGATGTGTTGATAATGTCTCGGCAAAATGTGGCTCCTTAATAATAGAGGTAGCAGTGGGAATCAAAGGAGCTGGACAATTCTCTGGAACGCCAGGATGTTTTAGGAACAATTTACCACTGTCTGTTTCATTATTTACAGAACATGCAACATTAATAGTTGGCATGTCAGGAGTCCTCAGCTGCCCAGATGGCACCGATGCAAGAGCTGAACCAGCGCAATTTCCCCAGCCAAGGCTATTGTTCCGACTAAGCTGCTGGCTGTCCTTGGCTTCCAGCCAATGCCAAGTGCCGGACTGAGCTGAAGATCCTTTGGGGCGGCCAGAGGTGGGCATGGAGGCACCTGCCAAGTCCCTCTCTTCTCCCTCCCCATCACTGTCACAGGCCTTCCCGACCGCTGGGTCCCCACATGCCTGACCAGCAGGCTCCTCCACTGGGGTGATGCCAAATGAGTTGGCCTCGTGGAAGACGTGGGGTCCCCCTGAAAGACGGCTCCTGGGCGACACCTCCACAGGGAAGCCCAGAGCAGAAGACTTCTCAGTCATTGGGGCAAAATGCACATTCTTTTTATTTTTTCAAATAGTTTGGGACTTACTGATAAATTCTGGATTGACTATTTTATCCCGAGGCACTCAGAATATCTCACCATCTGTGGCTAACAAGCAGTTTTCCAATGTGGTTCCCAACCATTTCTGCTGATGGAGCTCAGCCATTCCACAGCAAAGACAGAGGCACACAAGGCAGGAGGTACCACAAACTCCTCCACGTTACGTTTGTCCTTGGCCAAGCATTTCACTATAATCCCTGGAGACCTTCTCAAGTACGGAACCACTTGCAGGTAAAAGTCCTCCAGTCTCGAGGTCCATCAGTCAAGAGAAGCCATCTGAATGACGATCTTCTCATGACTGCAAAGGGGCCGGCCTGCATGCTGGACGAGCGAACTGTAATACTGAACCTGATGGGATAAGAAAAGTCAGGGGAATTGTTTAGAAGCAGTTTCTCAATAAGGGAGAATCTAATACCACCCCACCCATCCGCCATGCCATAATTATAAGCATCCCATAATTGAGGAAAAGCTATTTCAGGTTCATAGTTGCTTAAAGATATTATTAAGCCCGGCACACACTGATGCAGGCAAGCATTACTTATTCTAAGAAGGAAGCTGTCCTTACTTGTGGAATAAGGCAGAACTAGCGCATACAGGCTCTTTCTTTTTTGCATGAACAACAGAAGTGAGCCACAGAGTGTTTATTTTTGCTGTTAATAATCAGGCCTGACATTTGTTACATGCAGCAGATATAAACCTGCTCAATAACACTTGCAGTTTTTTAAAGAGTCATCTGCACAAACGTAATTTTGGTAAATACAAGTTATATATGTTTAATACAATAAACTCTGGTGATTCAGGCCCTTGAAAGCTTCTGCAGTATTGCTCTATTTGTTTAGGAACAAGTGGGGCAAAGAATCGCAATGCTTTAGGCACATTTAAAGGTTTCTCGGCTGCAAACCCAGCCTGGCTATTAAATTCCCCCCCCCCTCCTAGATGATGCTGGGGGGGAAGGTTTCTGAGCACTCCTTTTGAACCTGGAGGCAGTAAGATACTCACAAGCTTCTTGTCGGACCCACTGCAAAATGCACTTGGCAGGAATCAGGAAGCCGATGAGGTAGCACAGGCCATCCCCGCTGTAGAGCTTTTCCACCACATCAAAGACCTGGCAGAGAACTGTGGCTGGTGTGATTTCAAAGGGAGGATAAAACACGGAGAGGATGTTCTCGATGCAGCCATCCAGGGACTGAGAATCCTGCCAAGAGAATGAGAGTCAGCAGAGCCAGCAACTGGGTCTCTCAGGCTACAATCACAAAGGGCAACTGGGGGACCTCCTCATTCCTCCAAACCCCCAACTCTCCCAAACACAGTTCCTGCAGCGCCAGAGCAGAGCGCTCACCTAGTCCCGAGTGGCGGCAGACAGCTTACACTGCAAATACTTTCCTGACTGAATAGGGTGTGCCTCTTGTTAAACTGTTGTGATTGTAGCATGTGGGAGAATACATGGCATGTGCATGTGAACGTGAGAGAAAGAGGCAGAAGAGCACGCACCAGAATGTGTCTGTCTTGTTCTTATAATGCTCACAATGCCACATTCTCAATCACTAAACTATACACGATAATAAACTCAGTTTAGGTTCAAGAATTCTTTATGGCTATACCAATTCCCTTCATTCAGGATATATCATGCAGATGAAACAAAATGCATATGGCAACATTGCATTATTTGCCCTGACATTAATGTCAAGTCCCGTAAGCATTAGAATACATGACAGGCGAGAGGCAAAGATTAGCATGGAGATGTACTTAGAGGCACAAAAGGCAGCGTTCTGTGGGGACAAAGAGAACATTTACATTTGTCTCTCTTGTCCAGAGCCCTTCAGGCTGACCAGAGCATTTGGCAGTCCAAGAGCTCCCACATCTGCAGCCATCACAACTGGCCTACCACTGTTCCAAACTCTGAACAAATTCACAGGTTTTGAATGATCCCAGAAAGGCTGCTGCCTATCTGATGATTCTGCTGCAAACAGACGGTGGTTCCTCTGCCAGCGGGAAAGAACTGCACCCAGATTTACTTCTGGTTTGTAAAAACCTCTGCTGTGGCTTCAGTGCCGCCTGCAAGGACTGAGAACCAGGATTGTGTACCGTCAGCAGTTCTGCTTAACACACACACACAGAGACACACAAACACAGACTAACAACAATTAACTTGTCATTGCCAAATAAATCCAAAGAACCTCTTACTCTGCATAGACTCTGCCTCAGGCATGAGAGTTTGCCATTTCCTTGATGACTAAGGCTGATTTGTGCACTTCAAAGACACTCTCCTAGTAAAAATCCCCAGTTATTGATGCCAGGGATTTCATTTAGAGATCCCTTCAAAGAAAGCCGCCCTGCCTTTTGCCTTTTGCCTTTTGCGCAGCTCTGAAAACTGGGCGCTCCTTCTGGGCACTCAGGCAGGCCCTGGGAGGAGCCCCTCCCGATGAAGTTGTACTGTTTCCTGCCGGTTTATTTTGCTATTTTCTGTTTTAATTCTAGCTAAGCCGCCCAAAGTTGCACGTTGCCAGTTGCTGATTCAGGGCCCGCCCGTGGCCTTCTGAAAGAGCCTCTCCGTGCAGGCTGCGGATCCTCCTCCTCCTCCTCCTCCTCCTTTCCGGGCCGGGTCTGGCCGAGGGAGGCGGGGATGCCCGTCCTCAGTTCTCAGCCCACAGCGGAGCGCAGCCAGACAAGCCGCGCAGCTAAGCTGCTTGAGGGAAACCGAACCGGGCGCAACTAAACCCGCAGCAGCAAAAAGCCGGCAACGAAGGGCGGGAACGGCCGAGGCCCGAGGCCGCCCGGGGGGCCCGCAGACAAGGGAGCCCCAGGCCCTGGCCTAAAAGCCTCCGCGCGCGGGGATTTTCCAGCCAGGCCTCCGGGGGACCTTCCGAAGCGCCGGACTGGCCACTTCCGCCGCCCCCCGCCCGGACTCCGGCTGCACTGGAGCAGAAGGACGGAAAGGACCCTTCGGGGCTCCCGGCACAGCCACGCTCGACCGGCCGGGCCTCCCCCGCGCGCGCTCCCCCCCCCGCGTGCGCGCGCCGCCCAGCAGCCAAGAGGCGCCCCGCCCGAAGGGGGCGCGCTGCGCGGGGGCCGCTCGGAGCCGGGCGCCATCTTGCGGTTGCCGAGCGACGCGGCGGAGAGTGGGGTCCCCTCGAGGTCCTCTAGTCCGGCTCCTGACCCGCAGCCCGCCCCGGAGGACCTTTGCGCGAGGCCCGGAGACCCTTCTGCGCCCGGGAATCCCACCGAGCGGGACTCGGCCTCCGTCCGGCCCCCGGGAGCGCTGCGGGGCATTAAATGTTCAGCAAAGTGGCCTTGTGATGTCTCACTTAATAATCATTTGAATGACTGAGGTTCCAGTTATGGTCATAAATTGACTACGTGTAATAGTTTTAAGATAATTAAGCAATTTCCAAAAAAGAGAGGCTTGCAATCTTACTGTCTTTTAAAACTCTCTGCAAGCAAGGAGGGCAAATTCCATAATCTGGTGTTCAAACGCATGAAAAACCGCTATCCTGCAGTCTCCTGGTGGGAAGCAGCCTTCTTGGGCAATCTCCCACCCTCTCCTGATCTGAAGAGGCTCCAAGGAATCGGTCTACTCGCTGGTTCCTTGGTCTTTGCTTCAGTCTTCAGCTCCATTTCACAGAGCTGTCTTCAGTTGAAGGAAGAGATTGGTTGATCAGATGCCTTATTGAAGCCCAGGTATACTACCTCCTTAGCGTTCCCTTGATCCACGAAGTCAGTCGCTGTCAAAGAGCAATAAAATTTGTTTTTAACAATGAGGTATTGTTAAGTGTGGTAATCACCTCATTCATTTCTAAGCACTTGCAAACTCACTGCTTGAGTTGATCATTTTTTCTAGGAGCTTTCTAGATATCCTAAATAACCACCAACCTATGACCCTCTTAATTGCATAACTCTTTAAGTAAAATAAAAAAAACGGGGAAAAGAGACTAACTAATGGGATTGAATTTTTATTTTTTCAATAACAATTGGAATAAGAACGGGAAGCTGGACAAGTTATACTTTATAAAAGAACGTCTAAAACTTCAAAACTAAGTAAGAGACTAAAACAGAGGAAAATAGAACATGTGCACCATCTACTGGCCCTTACTGGCAGAAAAAGATAATAAGAGGTGAAAGTGGCTGACCTTGAACATGAAGTGTGGACCCTGGAAGCTGTAAACCAGTGGTTCTCAACCTTTTTAATGCCGCGACCCCCAACCGGTCGTAGGTCGAGGACTAAACCGGTCGTAAGTCGAGGACTAAACCGGTCGTAAGTGGAGGACTACCCAACCGGTCGTAAGTCGAGGACTTTCCCTGCCCGGGAGCGCCGCACATGCGTGGCTCCGCCCCCTGCGGCAGCTGAGGCGTAGCTGGCAAGCGGCAGAGACGGAGCAGGCCGACCACCAGCTGGCCCAGCCCAAGGGAGGTAAGGCACCCGCTGGAAAAGGGGGAAAAAATGGCAGACAAAAAAAAATGGCGGATAGCCTTGCTTGGCGACCCCCGTGAAATGGTCGATCGACCCCAAATGGGGTCGCGACCCATAGGTTGAGAACCGTTGCTGTAAACAATAATTAGCTTTCGCACCTGCAAATTGCTTAGTCTGGAAAGCTGGAACCGAGAGTGGAAGTAGTATGATTGTGTAAACCTACCAGCTCTTGGGCTTTAACGCATAACAACCAAGCAGGCTGAAGCTGAGAAACAGCAGGAATTTACTTTCAGTTTGAATAGAAGAATTCCCTTGCCAGACTTTGATGGATTATAAATAACTTTGATGGATTATAAATAACTTTGATGGTTTATAAGTAACCTTTGATGTGATATCTGTTAAAGAGGAAGAGAAGAAGAGACTAGAACAGTCATATAAAAACTCTTGGATTATTTTGTGAAAGACTGTTGGGGATATAGCTGGGCCTTTGTGGATTACAAATAAATTTTGATATAATATTTGTTAAAGAGGAAGAGAAGAAGAGTTGAAGACGGTTCATGAAGGACTCTTTGGTCTATTTTATAAAAGATATTTAGAGACATAGATGGGACTTTGTGGACTACAAATAATTTCATATAATATTTCTATATAATAGCATGAAGAAAAGGGGTGTAGAACTATAATAGAACTTTTGGATTAATATACTATAGGTTCTCTGGACAGAGGTTGTAATAAGAGTAAAAGAGGGATCTGGTAGTGAGATTGTGGACATAAGGAATTTATTGAACCTATTGAATGTATTGAAGCTGAGAGGCAATTGGGTGGGGGACTGTTGAATAGCTGAGAGTGTGTTGTAAAATAGTTGATTATTCTATTTGTTAATATTTAAAGATGGAGAAAACTACATCAGCCCCCTCTTCAGCAGTATCAGCAGCAGCTTCGAGTCCGGCTAGTCAAAGATCTTTGGATAATATATATGTTGCAATGGGAAAGAATAAATGCGATGCAAGCGGAAACAAAAATGATGTTCCAATCGATTCAGGAATCAATAACCAAACTACATGAAGAGATGAAGGAAAGAATACAAAAAGTGGAGGACAAAGTAGAAAATATTCAACAAATAATGACTAAAAATGAGGAAAGAATCAAGAAGAGAGAAGAAAAATCAGAAGGGCGTGAGGTCTGTGGGTTTCTCCCTGGAGAGCAGCCCTTCCCATTCCTGCACAAGAGACTGCTAATCACAGGCACCGAGTCAAGTCTCTTGGCTGCTGTTCCCTGCCTTTTGCTTAAAAATAACTTTGTCAACCAGCCTCGTCCACATTCTGTACTTTGGGACTGTGTCAAAGGCCTGCAATGTTTATACAGAGCACTTCCGTTCTCAGGGTTCGTGCCTTTCTCTAAAAATGATGGACAATGAAGCAGCAATCCAAAGTGGATCTCCGCACTCCATCTTGCCTACTCTTAAGCTACGATTTTCTTTTGTTTTATCAAGTTTACCTATTTTCATAGCAAAGATCCTGCATTGTCCAGATTTCAAACTAGATATGACAATAAATCTTGACTATCTAGACATTTCGCCCCTTCCTTCCTTCCTTCCTTCCTCCCTTCATTCCTTCCTTCCTTCCTTCCTATTCCAGACCTATCCTTTCTGTCTTTCCAATTATTGAAAACTTGGCTGTCCTGCTCCAGTTTGCCTCCTGGAGTTGCGGGAGTTGAGGGAGGCCACAACAGCCAAAGGGAAAGGAGGAAAACAGCTTCCCACTGACTAGCCCCACCAGCATCCCAAAAGGGCTCCCCTGGGACAGGGCAGGAGGCCTTGTGGCACTTTCCATCTTCCATCTTTTAGGGTAAGAGAAAAAAATGATGGAAGAAGCTGCAGACGGCAGGAGCAGCTGCAGAGGCTGCCAGGCTATGCAGAAAACCCAGGAAGGGCCGAGAGCTGATTCCAGTGAAATTCAGGATAAACTTCACCCAACTGTGAAGTAGCAGTTCAATCAGGGACTCAGAGCCAAAATGCGATGGGTGCATTTAGCAAAGGCTAAAGAGCAATATGGTCCAAATGCTTTGACTGGATCCTGCACTTGGCAGGCGGAGGGAGGGAGGGAGGGAGGGAGGGAGAGGGAGGAAGGAAGAAGGAAGGAAGATGTAGGACGTGGAGTAATAGAAATTAGAAATAATACAATATAGAATCAAATACAAACGAAGCAGGGATGATTCTTCCTGATTTTCCACCATCTGTTTTATGCAGTCCCCTCGACAACCAAATTGGGGCTGATCAAGGCTAGGATGGGCACTGGACGAGTAATCTGTAACAGAAGCCCAGGAACCCCACCCAGTTGCACTTTCCTCCCTTACTGCGTTACAATGAATGGGTTTAGTTGTGGTGAAAGGAAGGCAGCTAATGAAAGAGGCTCCAGGATGCAAAGCCCACGGCAGGCCATTGTTGCAAGGCCCAGGGAGCAGCTGGAAGACCCTCTGCCAAGCTTGGGAAATCGGCCATGATCCAATAACCCTCCCCCTACCCCAGATTTTTCAAAAGGCTGGACACACACGGTGTCACTTCCTCCTTCAGTTGGGCTGGAAATGTTGACAAGGAATTCTGTTATTATAGCTTGGCTTCCTATGACTGCTAAGGAACCATGGAAACCACACAAATCTATTCTGGGATGTTCCTCATAATGCTGGAATAATTTTTTCAAGGAAAATCAACTCAAAGTGCGGCTGGCAACTCGGGATGACTCACAGGTCCCAGGAGAGCTTCCAGCTGTGGCAGCAAAGCTACTCATTAACTAGTCCCAAAATCTGTGGCATCTGACAGTGCTTGTTGTGCGTTATCCAGCTGCAAATAGATGTCCAAAGTCTCATGCCGAATTGTCCCAAAGAGGAATGCCAGGAGAAGCCCTTGGAGATGCCGGGTCCCATCAGCTCCCAAGCCCCTGAAAGTAGGCAGGATGGGAGAAAAGAAGGACAATTGCTCACATCCCTCATATATATTTAAGCAAGGTTCTGCTTAAAATTACACACCTAGCACCAGCCATCAAAAGGGAATTACCAGAACTCCAAGCTGGCTTCTGAAGGCGTATTAGACATCCTGCATACCTCAGCTATAAATTAGAAATAGGGATGGCCTGGAGCAAATAGAATGTGTACTAGATAACTGCTGGAGCATTCATTAGCTGAGGCATAGGGATGGCTAGAGGTCAATAGGTCAATTGTTAGATCATTATTAAAATCTTTATTAGATGACTTGATTTATATATCTTGCCTTATCCTGCCTTCCGCTTTAGTGAAAATGTATAAAGCCTTCTTAATACTATTGTTCAAGGTTCCTTGGCATTTTTGGCCAGGACCCCTTTTCTTAGAGCGCTTCAATAAAAGGAAACAAAACCTGCACTTCGTGTCTGGTGTCCTTCATCATCTTTGGCACAGGCCCCGACCCGAATTGGGGACAACAGTGTCTTAACCACTAGACCAAACTGCTTCCTCTGAAGCTGGCTTTATTCTTGTACTGTCTTGAAGAATTTTTAATTTCAAAATATTAAAAAAAAGTAAAAAATGGCCACCCCTAATTTATTGGGGTGATGTGCAGTAGAAAAAAAGGTACAAAACATGGCCTAAAGGGCCTATCAAATGCCAAGTGATCATTTTGTCCTTTTCTTTTTTGCTTCTGCTTCAACTGAGTTTCTGATGTGGCTTATAAAAATAAACCACCAGTTGAAGCAGCCCACCTGAGGAACCGGAAGCTGGAAAACCCAGAGGTTGGTACCCGCCTGGCAAAAAGCGACCCCCGTTCTTGGACTGCGCGGAGGCTTTCTCACTCGGGCCGAAACAGGATCGCCCCCCCATTTCTCCGGATTGGGGGGAGCGCCGCCCCCTGCCAAGATGCCCAAGAAGAGCAGAGGGGCCACGCCGGCCTTCCCGGTCTTGGTGGCGGCGAGCGCCTTCCTCTGCGGGGCTGGGGGGGGGGCAGACCGGAGCCCCGCCTGCTTCCATCACCGCGGGCGCCGTTTCCTGACCAACGTGCGGAAAGCCTCTCCTCCGCCCTGCTCGAGGCGGCCGGATCGGCGCAGGCAGAGCCGGGAGGAACCGGTCAGCCCCCCCCCCCCGCCCTCGACTGCACCGTCCGCCAAGGGGAGAGCGCCGGGCGACCCCGGGCCTGCACGGGGCGCCCACCGAGGCAGCGCGCCAGCCCTCGCGGGCTCTCGGCTCGCCTTCCGGCTGGTCTTCCCGGGCCGGCTGCGGGCGGCTCCCCGGAGCTTCGGCTTTCCTCAAGGGGGCGGCCGAGCCCGGTGGCCCTCTCCGAGGGAGCGTCACCCGGCCGCTCGGCTGGCTTCCTGCCAGGCCCGGCGGCTTCTGAGCTCCGCGCGGCTTAAGCCGGAGCGGGATCCGGGCGAAGAGCTGCCCTTTTTCTCCGTCCTCCCGGAAAGCCCCCCTTTCAGCAGAGCGTCGGGCAGGGGGCGAGCGGCCTGAGGAAGGCGCTTCCTGACCGGCGGCCGCTTCTCGCCCGACGCTGGAGCCTCGGCGGCCGCTCCGCGCCTCGCTGCGATCCGCGCAGGACGTCCGCCAGGGACGGCGCCGCCGGTACAGCCAGCCGGGCAGGGAGAAGGGCGGCGGCAGGAAGCACTTCCCCGCCGCCGGCAGTCAGAGGGGCGGGCGGAGGGGCGGGGCCGCCGCTGGGGGTCTTCGCGGGTCCCCGCCCTGGAAGGCGGGCGGCGGCAGCGGGGTCGCGGGAAGACCCGCCCGGGAGCCGCGGCCGGAGGGGGCTCCGGCTCGCCAATCCCAGGTTGGCGCAGCTGCCCCGCCCGCCCTTCTCCCCTCCGGCGCAGCCCCGCCTGCCTGGCCGCCCGGGAAGGGCGCCACAGACCCGCCGCCGCCGCCGCACCATGGCCGAGCCGGCCGCGCCGCCCGCCGTGCAGTGCCGCCTGCAGTACCTGGAGGACGCGGACCCCTTCTGCTGCGCCGCCTTCCCCGAGCCGCGCCGCCCGCCCGTCCTGCCCGTGGCCGAGGCGCTGCCGCTGGCCGCCCAGCTGCCCGCCTTCCTCCGCCTGCTGGGCGCGCCGCTGCGGGTGAGCGCCTCCGGGGTCGGCGGGAGCTCGGGGCGGGGGGGGGAGGTCGCCGCGCGGGAAGGCAGCCCGGGAGTTGCCGTTCGCAGACTTTCCCCGGCGCCCCCGCTGCCCCCGCGCAGCGCCTCCCGGTGCCCCGGGCCAAGCGCGCCCCCGACCCGAGCATGTCAAAGGGAGGCCAGCCGTGGAGCCCCGGCCTGGCTTGGGCGATGCCGGCCGCTCGGGAACTGAGCCGGGCCGTCGCCTTCCCCGCTCCGGCAGCGGCCCCGGGTGGCTGGGGCGGCGGGGCTGCTGCTATTCCGGGCGCGAACCTGCCGAGAGGCTCGGGTGACGCGCTGCCCCTTCGGCGTCTGTTGCTAAAAACAGCCGGGCCCAAACAGGAAAGGCGCTTCCGCCGCGGGGCCGGCCGAGCGGCTCTTATCGCAGCCCGCCGGCTGTTCAGCGCTGCCGGCTGCCGGAGGAAGAAACGTCGGGCCGCTGAGACGGGGACGGAGCCCCCCACGGCCTGCCCGAAGCTTCGGTGGAACGAGGGGAGGCTTGGGCGGCCCCGGCGGGCAGAGGAGCCCTGGCCAAAGGCAGCCTGAGCAACCGCTGCTTCTCTGGCCTCGCCAAACGCGCCGGATGGGGCTAATAATGCAGGCGGGAAATCTCCAGTATCCGACAGGGCTGTGGCACACACCTGTTGCATTTGCTTCTTTTAGTTTTCAACCACCTGTCAAAGGTGAACCTACACATAAGAAGAGCAGAGCAGGCAGGCTTGGTTAGCCAGTAAGCTACGCAGAGTTGGGCTGAGCTCCTTGTGGTCACACGGTCAACCATTCACCCTCTTTGGTTAAACTTGAGCCCTTCCGTTAATCTTGGATGCTGTCCATCTGACTTACTCACTGACATCCCTTCCAACTTTCCTCCAGCTTGCCAAGTGTAATTGTTTTCCTCCAAGTCCATCGTCCACTCCTATCCCATCTTCCACATGCGTGAGTTTTTTCATGCTTGGTCCTCTCACCTTGGAGAGCAGCCAGGGCATTTGATGGAGGACCAATGGCCTGCTTGCAGATCCCAGGTTGGTAGTAGCTGCCACAAAATGAGTAATTCGGAAGCATCATATTGTCTTCCATTTGGTCATTCTTAGTGCCCCAATTTCTTAGCTGGCTTTTGGAACTGGAAAGATCATTGCTTTAGTCTGATCTCAGTTGCATTCAGATACTTCGGTCGTTATTGAAACTTGGACAAAATATTTTATATAATCAAAATTGAATGTCTGTTCTTTTTTTTTTGCTTGACCTTGGAAGTCAGGCTGAATTGTCCCTTCTTCTTGATGTCCAGGGCTTTCCATCTCTGACTTTCCTTGTCTGCCATAGGATTTATTCTGAAAACTCTTTTCCTCTTTGGAAGTTTGAGGTTTCCCTCCTTTTAAGGAACTTTCCCCCCAGTTCCCCAGCTTTTCTTTCACGTAAGGCAGGCAAAGTAAGCCTACTCCTTTCATTGCTCTTCCCTTCTGATTGAGGTTCTTCACCAGTTGGGTGACTTGCTGACTCCTCTCCTGTTTGCTTACTTGATGCCAGGCTTCACCTGGTGCAGCCCTGTCTGAGTGGGCTGCCCTTCCCTCTCCCGATCCGCACAGGATCCATTTTGCCCCCTTTGGCCTTTTTTTTGTGGCCAGACCAGCAGGTTCCTGGGGGCCACAGAGGCTTTGGGGGCTCCAGTAAGAACTGGGGGCAGACCCACCCTCCAGGTCTCTGGAGCCCTGTCTGAGCTGGGGGCTTCTCCCTGAGTCTGGAAGGGTGCCAGCAAACTCCCGCCTTCCTACTTGCAGGCCCCCATTTTTTTTTCTTCAGTGCTGGGAGGAATTTCTCCTTCAAATCCTAGGGATGCTTTTCTGAAATGTAAAGGGGGTGAGCAGGAGGGAAGCAGGAGGGAGCCTGGGTGGACCTGGGTGGGGGCTGAGATGTGGTCTCCCAGCTCCACCTGGATGGGCAGGAGGCTCTCACCCACCTAGAGGGCATCTGATGGCCCGGGGTTGGTCCTGCGCCTGAACAAGTGGAGCTGAGGGCAGGATACGGCCCTGCCTCCAGAGGAGCCAGGGTTAGATGCCGATGCAGACACTGCCTTTGCCCGTGCTGGGAAAGGGGCCGGAAGGAATCCCAGAGCAGACGCTACATGCTTGGCTAACTTCCGGAAGTGCCTCTTTTGCAGCTGGAGGACTGCGCCTTGCAAGTGCTGCCTTCTGGACACTACTTGGACCTGGAACTTTCACTGCTGGAGCAGAAGGATGAGCTGGAAGTCTTCTACGAAGACATCAGGTGAATCCCTGCTGAGGATTTTGCCACCTTTTCCATGTGCAAACTTCCCTCCCCTGCGCCTCATGCCAGCGTATCTGGCGGTTTTAATCTGGAAGGACAAGTGCTCCCAATTTGGGAGTGTCAGAAGTTGTACTCGATGTGTGTGAGGCATCCAGGAGGATCCAAATCATGAGCAGCTCATGAGCAGGCTGGGTTCATCGTGCGCGGTGCCACAGCTGCAGCTCCTTTTTCCTCACAGGCCCCAGTTGCTGGCTGCAGGGGAAGACTGGCATTTGCCTGCCACCCTTCTATTTTTAGTTTGGTGGCTTATTGATCAAATTTTTAAACTGCCCATCTTCCTCACAGAGGGACTCTGGGTAATGCACAAATAAAATATTAAAATATAAGAACAGTGTTTAAAAATTTAAGAGGAGGCAAGAATGAATTAAAAATCATGTTAAAATTAATTAAAAGGAGGGAAAGGCTTTTCAGTGGGCTAGCCAGCCTCATGGCTGTGTGCTCCCCTGGGCTCCAGGCTGCAGAGCCACGTTTTCTTTCAAGGGGAGGGGGTGCTGCCTCACCTCTGGGGGGGAGGATATCCCACCCGGTGGGGGCAAATGGCCGAGAGGTCCCTCTTCCTGAACCCCCAGTCCGAATCCTTTGGCTGACGGGGTCTGCAACATGCCTCCCCTGCCTGATCAGCTGAGATGTGCCGATGGGATGGGATGTAGCCGGTTCCATAGGTAGCCTGGCCCCAGACCGTCTGGGGCTTTATAGGTCACACCCAAAGCCTTGAATTGGATCCGGATGCACACAGCTGGTGCAGCAGAGGAGTTCCATGCCATGTTTTCTGGATGCTGCCTTTTATTTCGGCAGATGGCAGGCACTGCGGGGGAGGGGGGCGATCTTGAACCAGCCAGAGGTTCTTGGTCCTGACTGGGTCCCACTTGGTTTCCTCTTGTTGCAGCAAAGGGAGGCGGCCAATCCTGCTTCTGCGCACGCAGCTCTCGGTCCGAGTGCACGCCATCATCGGTGAGTCCTGCCTGGTCCTGGACTGTGGAAGGGCTGCTGGAGGGAGGGGCTTCCCAGGCCCTGGCAAGGGCAGCAGTTGCCCCACCTCTCAGCCGGGTTGGTGATCTCCATGGAAGTGTGAACTCTGGGACAGCTGCTGTATTTTCAAGGGGGAGCCCTGCAGAAATCAGCTGAAGACAAGCTGGGTCTCCTGGCTGGGGAAATGCTGGACTCACAGCTGACTCTTTGGAGGGAGGGACCCCATGATCAGGCCGCAAGGAGAAGAGCTGGGGTCTTCCCCCCCCCGGTACCCCTGGCCAGGGATCCCTGTGACTGTGGCACGGGCTCTCTGAGATGTTGGGGCTGCTTGGGTGTATGAGCGAGATGAGCCCCATTCCCGAGGCTGACCCATCTGTCTTCCCCAGAGAAGCTGTACCGTTCCAAGGGTCCGGAGCTGAGGCGTTCCCTCTTCTCCCTCAAGCAGCTTTTCCAGGTGAGGCTCTGCGGCCGGCCTCCCTGCCTGCTCCTCTCCCAGAGGCTGGCTGGGCCCTTGGCCGGGGATGCCAAGGGACGGACGGGGCAGCCCAGCCCAGTGGAGGGAGTGCTTTTGGGGGGCTCGGTTTGCCCTGGCCTCAGGGGAGCCTTTCAGGCTCTGCGTTTCGGCTGCAGGATGACAAGGACCTGGTGCCCGAGTTTGTGAACTCCGAAGGGCTGACGTGTCTCGTCTCAGTGGGAGCAGAAGCTGACCAGAACTACCAGAACTACATCCTGCGGGGTGAGTCTGACTGAGCAGCTGGCCCAGGGGGTGGCCAGGCCAGGGAGGAGAGGGAGCGCTTCCCTGTGTGCCCCGGGCGTCCCTCCCCCTCTTTCCACCTCACTGCCTCCCATGCTCTTGGGGAGGGGCAGGATCCTGGCTAAATTGGGGAAAGGGGCTCAGAGGGCCCTAGGAGAGAGGAGGGGGTGCCCCTGCAGTTCTCTTTCACCAATGTCTCTCTCGGGTGCCCCCTGGTGGAGAATGAGTGAACAACCAGCCACTTGGGAGGGGGGAAGAGCCTCAGTCTGGTGGGGGGGACGCTCTGCTTTTTCTGCGTCCCGTTCTGTGAAAGGCTGCTGCCGTTTTCAATGCCTCCATGGCATGTGGCCCCTCCTGCTCTCCACCACACCCTTTTTTGGGTGCAGCAACAAAGCGCGGAAGAGCCAAGGTAGACTTTAGGTGCCTGGTTGCGCAGAAGGGAGGACCACCCAATCAATTCTCCCCCCCCCCGCAGTGGTTCCCCTCCTCCCCGCCAAGCTGGGGTAGTCATCTCTATGCATTTGCAGAAATCAGGGCTGCACTCCGTGGCCAGTGAGGGGCTCAGCCCCACGTGGAGTCGCTGCCTCGCAGAGCCGAAGCCCCCGAGGTTTTCACCTTTGCTTTGAGAATTAGCCTTTTTTGGGTTTTCCAAAGGAGGGGTCCGGGCCGCATGTTCTGCAGAAGTCCTCCCCCCAGCAGGGGATGCACAGCAGTTGAGCAGCCTGGTCCAGCCCCTCCTCCCCCAAGTACTGCTGGAGCCCCCAAGGGGCCACTCTTCTTCCTTCCTTGCAGCTCTCAGCCAGATCATGCTTTTTGTGGATGGAATGATGGGGGTGATCCAGCACCCAGAGACCGTGAGGTGGCTCTACACCCTGACGGGCAGCCTGGTGAGTGAATATCCTCCCTGCCGGCAGAGGACATTCGGGATGCCCTTATCCATCTCATTAATGCCCTTGCTTACTACTGGGTTCAAATCCTCCGTGTTCTCTCGGATCTCCTCATGTGGTCCCCTCCGCTGTAGCTCTGAGAGGTGAACTGGGCAGAGAGAGAATGGCGGCAGAGCTCGTCCTCCTCCTCCTCCTCTCTGCTGTCTGAGTGGCTGGAAAGCCAGAGTCGCACTTCCACTGCTGTGACCGGGCTTAGCGAGGGTGGGCAGGCCCTTCAGCTGGCAGGGGACCTTTCCTGTGAAAGGACATTGGGGAGCAAGGACATCTCCTCCACATCTTACCTCCACCAAGGGCATCCCTGGCCTGGGTGGTCCTCAGGATCATGCAGACTTTGGGCCTTGAGAGCCTCCAGACAGAATCCCAAGTCAGAGAGGGCAGTCCGTAGAAGAGGGCCTCCTTCTGGAAAGGGGTCAGAAGAAGACATCGGGGAAAGGTCTCTTCACCTGCTGGAAGCAGTGGGCATTTATCCCTCCTGCTCACCCCAGGAATGGGCGCGGTTGGCATGCTTGAAGGTTCCCCTACAAGAGAAGGCCGGCTCTCTCGGCACACGCAGTTTCCCTCTCCTTCCTGTAGTACCGCCTTGTGGTGAAGACGGCCCTGAAGTTGCTCCTGGTCTTTGTGGAGTTCACGGAGTCCAATGCCCAACTGCTGATCCAGACTGTGGTGACTGTGGAGCAGGGCAGAGGTGAGCCCAGAGCCCAACTGCAGGTGGCCGAGTTGAGTAGAGCCTGGTGCCTCCTGGTTGCTCCTTGGAAAGAGTGCCACCTTCTATTCTCATCAAGCAAGCCATTTTTGGTGGCCTCCAAGGACCGGGAGGTGCAGGCCGTCCTTCTGTGGGAGAAAGAAGAGGGGCCCTTGCATGTGTCTCTTGGAACTGGAGAAGTTCTGCCTAAGCGGTGACGAAAGCACACAGCCATCTTCTGCCAGTCCCTCTGTTCCTTACTTGCTGCCTTTCAGGGGGGTTTCCGTGGTCTCGCCTTGTGGCCATCCTGGAGCAGAAGAGCGGGGCTGATATTGAGCTCCAGGTGTTTGCAATGACGCTCATCAACAAGGTGAGGGCGGGCAGAGCGGGCAGGTAGAGCCTTCCGGGGTGGGCGGCTGTGCCCGGCTAATGGTTGTGTCCTGTTGGGGCTTGCAGACATTGGCTGCCCTCCCTGACCAGGACTCCTTCTACGACGTGACAGATTGTCTGGAGCAGCAGGGCATGGAGCAGCTCATCCAGGCGCACCTGGCCAGCAAGGGCACGGACCCGGACCTGAGGCAGCAACTCGCCCTCTATGAGGTGGGGGCCCACGGAGGGAGGCCCTTGGCAAGAGTCACCCCACCGCCTGCCTGCGCCTGCTTGCCTGCTGACCTGCTCTCTGATCCACAGAATGCCCTGAAGGAGGAGGATGAGCCGGAAGAGCCTCTGCCGGGCACCCGTGCCAAGGAGCGGCGGAGAGGGGACGAGGGCCGGCAAGGGGCCCGGCGCTCTTTCCTCGCTGCTGAGGCCCAGGAGGAGAACAAAGGCGTTCCTGCTGCTGCAGACACCTTTCCCAACCCTCAGGAGACTCTGGACCTGGAGGGAGGCAGCTGTGAGCAGCTGTGAGTTGGGCGTGGGGCATGGGTGGGGGGGGTCCACTCCATCTGTTTGGGCCACTGGACTCCCCTCCTGCATGTCCTCCCAAAACTGCCAGGCTGGCCGGTGGAGCCACCAATTTGTCTCTCGTAGGGGCCAGAAAGCCCCCGCTGAACCCCCCCCCCCGGCAAGTGACCAATCAGTTGCAGCTCTCCCCTCTCCCTTCCAGGCCCAGCCCGAAGGGTCCCTACGGCAGTGCTTCCTGCATGCAGCTCTCTGTGCCGCTGGCCCCCGTGGAAGGACCGCAGCTGGCTGGCCTGGGCGAGAGGAGCGTTTTCAAGTAGGTCCCGGCTGGGTGGCCAAGAGGACTGTGGAGGAAGCCTCTGTGCGTTGGGGAGGGGGGAGGTTTGCTCGGAGCTGCCTTCCTGGGTGTTTCCTGGGCAGAGACCCATCTCTGCCATTAGCCCTGGAGTTTTCCTTGTCAGCAGATGGATGGTTCAGGGTGCCTCTCTCTGTGTGTGTGGGGGGGGGATGCACTGAGCCCCTCTCCCTAAGCTCGCTGTTCTCAAGCAGATGGTGCTGTGGCAGCCTTGGCCTCCAGCTGCAGGTTGGTGGCACAGCCCCGGGCAGGAGAGGCTCAGCTCTTGCAGCTGGCAGAGTAGGGCCACCGCTGGCTCATCTGATGAGGCACCCAGTGCCCCCACAAACCCTTTCTGGTACTGGGGGGAGGAGAGGGTCCCCCCCTTGCCAGGACCCTGGACAGGGGAGAAGGCCCCGAGGGCTGGGGAGGATGGCGTGTGATGCACAGAGGCGGCCCCAGCGTCGGCCGCCCCCTTCCCAGCCACTGCACTGCGTCTTTCAGGCTGCCCCCCTCTTCTCCGGGCAGGCAGCGCCAGAGGCTGTGCCCGCAGGACCTGCAGGGTGGGTTGAGGAGCAGGTGGCAGGTGGGTCTGCTCTCTTTCTAGCTGCTCTGAGCTTCTCAGCTTTCTTGCTCTCTCCAGCGCCTGCCGGCTTAAATGCTATTTCCTCTTCCAGACTTCATGAAACTGCCTCTGCTTGGTAAGTGATGGCCTGTGTGTGGTGTGCAGTGGTGTAAGTCAGTGAGGGCTTGCGTGTCATGGCTGCCTCTGCTTGGTAAGCAATGGCCTGGGTGTGGTGGGTGGGTGGCGGCGTTGGGCCGCTCTCCCTGCCAGCAGTGCCAGTTTCTTGGCAGGAAATTCCCTGGTTGAGCTTTGGGGGATGCTTGTCGCTCAGCTGCCCCCTCGGGCTGCCAGGAGCCCGAGACAGCTGCTTGGCAGGGCTGGCATCCTAGGGCCATCAGCTTCCATTCCTCAGGTGGGAAGGGGTTCCCCGTGCCCCATCCATGCCACAAGGGGGTACCTCTGCTTTTATCTGGGGAGACGTCCATTCCCGCTTTGGGTCACCTTTGTTGCAGAAACCACGTGGTCTGGTACCTTGGCCTGACGGCCATTGGGACTGCAATTCTTTCCAGAAAGCGCTCCTGCATGTCTCTCTTGCCTTCAGGCCTGGCTTGGCCGAGCTTATGGCACGGTGTGGAGGGGCTCTCGGCCCACTGCCATTAACTCCCTTTTTCTCCCAGGCGAGAGGAAGCCCCCCCGGTATGTGGGGACAAGCCCATTCTGAGGCACTTTGAGTAAGTACAGAGTGGCGTGGGCAGCCTGGCCAGGCTGAGGATCCGGATGGAGCTGGACCTTGCCTGCCGAGCCTTCCTTGATCCCGGATCCTGGAAGAAGGGCTTGGCTGGGATCCGTTTCCAGCTCACATTTTGTTAACATTGCCACTTGCTTGTCTGAGCCCCCCCACACACACACACACACCTGGGTGCAGCTGAAAGGCTCCCCTCTCTGTGTAGGCAGAAATAGCCCCCTGGGAGACCTGGGCAGTCTCTGCTGTTTTCCTTGAAGCCGGACTCAGGCTTCCTTCCAGGTGGCAGCAAGAGCTTTAAGCCAAGACCGCTTGGCCTGTGGCCTCGTGCGGAGGGCTCTGCAAATAGGCCGCTGACTGGCCGCATGGGAGGTCGCTGGTCATCCAGTGCTTACTTAGGCAGGACGGCCTGCTAAGTCACAGACGTGTATAAAATGGAAAGCTTTGCTCTGATTCTGAAACCCACCGTTGCACTTTGTTCAGGAGTGGTTCTTGGAGTGCTCTTTCAAAGCTCCTCCTCTCCCCCTGTGCCTGGCCTGCACATGGGCCCTTGGCCCAGCATCTTCCCTCCTGTCTCAAGTCCTGCCCACCTGCACACCCCTCAACAATCTGGTAAATGCCCCTTGCCTCTTATTTTTTTAAAAAAACACCTGAAAAATAGTGCCTTAACAAACCGGGATTGAAACTCATGTTTAAAGTGAAAGAAAGCAGTCGATCCCTTTTCAATCCCTTTCTTGCACACCTTTTCATGAAACTCGGTTAAAGAAAACTGGGAGTATTTTGCTTTGGTGCACTTAGTTGCCCCCACCCAGAGTCCCGGGCGGTCGCCGTCCCTGGGTTTAGCCTCCTCTAAGTCCTGAGCCAGAAGGTGGGCTCAGCTTCAGGTGATTCTTTTTCTGGATTTCAGTGGAGTTGGGAATCCAAGACTAAAATAAATTCCCTGCCCCTAAGCCATGGGGTATAAGCAGTGGTTTTTCCAAGTTCATGCAATGGTGGTGATATTAAAACACCTGGCTTTTTGTGTTGTGCACACGTTGATTGTTCATAGAGCAAACCGGGGGCGTGGGGATCAGTCTCTGGAATGAGATGCACCTGTTTAATGTACGGCTCGGTGCTCCCCTAGGCCGTGTCTTCAGGGGAGAGACCGAGGTGGGTGAGGCCTAGCACAGGCCGACTGGGCCTCTGGCTCAGTTATGCATATTGTATGACTGATAAATAAGTAAACCGGGCATTTCTGGAGAAAGAGAAGTCAGCTGCTAGTTCTAGCTTATCTCGGGGGAAGGGAAGCAGCCCGGATCTCGTCTTCCAGTGGGTCTTGGGGATGTGAGGCTCCCATCTGGCTTAGCGATTCGTTATTCTGGTGCAAAGCTGTGAGGGGATGCAGGTGATGGAGAGATCTGGCTGGCACAGCAGGTGCGTTTCAGAACCAGAGCATGAAGAGGGGAGCCCTGAGTGAGGCTGCCAGGCAGCAGAGCAGGGCTGGGGGAACAGCCGTGTGCAAGCGGTCTTGCATGCGTGTAGCCACGGGCTCCGTCCCGGTACCTCTTCCCTTCGGGAATCCAGACCACGGAGGGCGCATGCTGGGTGGGGCTGAATGAGGAGCAGGTGGGCTTCGGGCATGGCTGCCCTGCGAAGGGCCAGGCCAGGTTTGTCGTGCCCAGAGGCCAGTCTGAGGTGACCAAGACGGACGCAGGTCAGAAGGCGAATGGCCTGAGGCGAGGGAGAAGCAGCTCCTGCCCAAACAGGGAGGTTGCTTGGCTTTGGCAGAGTTGGAGAAGAGAAGGGGTGCACTTGGGAGGGGGACCCTGCAGCTTCCTGCAGCTTTCCCTGCAGGAAAGACAAGAGGGTGGGTCTCTTGCTGTTCTCCGTCTCCCCATTGGTGCTGCGGCGGCATCCAGTGCGAGGCAGGTGCCGGCCTCTGCATCGCAAGAAAGAGGAAGGCCTTTGAGGAAGACCCCCTCTTCAGGGGACCCTTGCTCACCTCAGGCTGGGATGAAATGCGGAGAGCCTTTCTGAGCAGCCTGGCCAAGTGGCCTGCCCTCCAGCTGGTCTGTGGTGCTTTGTCCATTCTTTGTGCCTGGAGGCAGAGGGGCAAGGAGGGCCCGGGCGAGACTCCCTTCTCTCCTTCCCTGGCATTCCCCACTCATGGCCTTAGACCCAGAAGTTGTCAGACTGAGCCTCTCGGCAGAGCAGGACTTTCCAGACGTCTCTGATAGGTCATCCACGAGCATCTTTGAGGCCTGAAGCCCTGGTGAAAGAGAATTCAACCCTCGGGGCAGTTGGTTTGATCGGTCCTCTTTACAAAGGAAGGAAAGGCTGTCAGTCCCCAGGAGAGGACCAAGGGTAGGTGATGAGATCTGGGCAGGACAGGAAACCCAAAAATCAGCAGGAGCCACCCGATGGCCATGACTGCACCTGGGACTTGGTCCACGCACCTGGTGCACGTCAGGGCACCGTCCGTCGCCCACCCGTGTCTTCAAGTGGGACACTGGAGCAGACCAGCTTTGCGTCATCCTCTGGGTGCCTCCCCTTTGGGAGGACACTCAACTGTCCTTGTATAAGGGCGAGCAGGACATCTGGATTCCCTAAGACAGAAATTATATCCGAAACATCTGTCAGATCCTTGATACTCTTTTCTGTGTCTTAGCTTACAGCTTAATTGTTACTGGTAACCTTTATGGGTAATGTTTATTGTATTAAGGCCAGCTGAGTTCTTCTATGTGTTTTCATATCATAAAGTTGGAAGGGACAACAAAGGTTATCTAGTCCAGTCCCCTGCTGAATGCAAGATACACTGCAGCATCTCTGACAGGTGACCATTTTCCGTTCATTTGAAAACAAATATCCCAGGAGAGCCCACCATATCATGTAGCCGTCTGTTCCACTGCTGGACAACTTGTGGATTCAGGAAGTTCTCCTGATGTCCAGGATGGACCTCATTCCTCGCAACTTTCATGAGCTTGTCATTATCTTTATGCCCATAACTGGACATAGGACTTCCTGAAATCTAGATATAGCATTCCTGATCACAATCCCTAGTTGGCATTTGCTTTTTTCCACAGCTACAAGGTGCTGCTAGCCTCTGTTTAACTTGGGATCACCAAAGACATTCGGACCCCTTTTACCTGTACTCCTCTCAAGACAGGTGTCCCCCATCCTGGTCTTGTGCCTTACGTTTCTCCTCCCCAGACGGAGAATTTTAAATTTTTCCCATTCCATCCTATCAACGTCACCACTACTCAAGCCTGTCCGGATCCTTTTGAACCTTTAAACAGCGCTCTCCTCTACAGGAGGGTTACCTGCTTTGTACCCTGTGCAGACCTTGAGGTCTCCTTGATTCTCTCATCCAGGTCACTGATAACCAGAGCCCTTTGATGCGCTGGGTAAGGATTCCTTCCCAGCAGAGGCCATGAATGAAGGCTTTTTTGATGCTGTGGCGTAACTTCAGGAGTCACAGACTTGCTTTAAACCTGTGTTGGTCTAAGTGGCTGCAAGAGGGAAATTCCTCTGCCTTGGGGGATGGCTTGGCCTTGGCTTGGCCTTTAAGTTCCAACCCCCCAAATAGCCATCTCTTGAAAAAACAGAGGAGTCTCGCTCCTCCAAACAGCCCTGTATGCGGCATCTGCCTTTGGAGGGTGTTCTTGGGTCCGTGCAGGCGTTGCACATTTTTGCGGAAAGTCGGAGGGGCTGGCAGGGTTGGCCGGTCCTCTCTTGCTCGCTGTCTGCATATGTGACTGGCAGGAGAGCTCATGACTGGCACCGTCTGCTGGACACAATGGTGACGGCGTCCCCAGTGCAGTGGTGTGGAGTTTCCCCTTCTCTTGCAGAGCCCGCTTTCTAGAAAACTTGGTTGCCTCCCAGAAAGAGAAGATCAGCGCCATCAGCCGTGGGCGAGCAGAAGTTCTTGGTGAAGCTGTTTCCAGCACTGAGCAAGCGGCCCCAGGTAGCGTAGCGGGTGCGGGAAGAGCTTGTCCTTTCTTGGTTCTGTTCTCTTCTGCGTGGCCTTTCCCCCTCTAAGTGCCCCTTTCTGCTGTAGGAAGGTGGAGTGAAGGACAAGATGGAGACACCAAATGGAAAGAGCCCAGCTCAGAGCCTGGTTTGGATCATGAGGCGGGCAGGGAGAGCGCGTCCTCCAAGGATGCCTCTCTAAGCCACCCCTTCAACACCTCCTGCGCCGTGGGCCCAGACCCAGAATGTGCCCCCTGTGGCATCAGTGGGGCTCTCGAGAGCAGCAGTGCTTCTGCGAAGAGAAAACTTATGCTTGACATGCTGTTCACTAATAAGAGCCCACCAGGCATGGAGAGGACGTTGCTCTTTGCGAGAGATCCAGGCACGGAAGAGAAGGGGAAGATGCTGCACCAGGAAGAGGAGGGCCAGGAGAGGATGGGGCAACAGACTGACTCTCAGGCCCTCCCCTTGCAAAGCCAGTTCAGTGTGGAAGCTGAAACCAGCCTGAAGAGTCTGGATAGGACCCAAGCGATGGGGGGTCCACCGGGGCCTCGTGCTCAACCTCTGAAGATCCAGGATCTTGACTTTTCAGACCTGTGTGAGGAGGAGGATTTTGGTGTACAAGAAGCAAAGGTGGCCGAGACAGCCTTGCCCCTCATGGCTTTGGGAGCCGGTGAGGGCCTGGCTCCTCCCCTGATTCCTGGTTGTGCTCCACCTCCTCCGGCTCCTCCTCCCCCAACTGGCATACCTGGTCCCCCCCCTCCCCCCCCATTCAGCAGCCCCTTTCCTGGGGGAAAAGCCAGCTCCCCTGCCAAGAAAAAGAAGACCCTCAAGCTCTTCTGGAGGGAGCTGAAAGACATAGATGGCCCTGCCAGGGAAACTCGGTTTGGGCAGGCTACTCTGTGGGCCTCCCTGGAGAAGGTCGAGGTTGACTCTGCCAAGCTGGAACATCTCTTTGAGTCCCGGGCAAAGGAGGTTCCGAGTTCCAAGGTAAGTTGCGGTATGAGGCTGCAGCTTGGCGTATCAATGCTCTTCTCTGGCTGGAAGAAAACATAGAACGTAGAATAACAGAGTTGGAAGGGATCTTGGAGGTCTTCCAGTCCAACCCCCTGCTAGTTAATTGTTCTCACTGTCAGAAACCTCTCCCTAGTTCTAGGTTGGATTTCTCCTTGATAATTTTCCATTCATTGCTTGTTTTGCCTCCTGGTGCTTTGGAAAATAGGTTGACTCCCCCGCTTCTCTGTGACGGTCCCTCAAATATTGGAAGACTGTACCATGTTGCCCCAGTATTTCTTTTGTTAGACTAGACCTATCTTGCTGGATAGTGCCCAATGCTCAAGTGTATCAAGAACCTTCTAGATCTTGAGCCTATCTTCTAAAATGTTGGCTATTCCCCCTAGCTTGGTGTCATCTGCAAATTGGGTGAGTTCCCCTTCTCTCCCCCTAATCTAGATCATTTATGGAAATGTTGAAGAGTACTGGGGCTAAGGCAGAACCTTGAGAACAGCAGCTGTCCTGAGATCACTTTCTGGCTTGGCGTTGTGGGCTGCTCCTTATCTTCAACCTCTCCTATGACCGTGCCATTGGTTCAAAACATAAGAGCAAAAGAAACTGCTCTGCCCCCCCCCCATCCCTGCCCAGCACAGCAGCTTCCCACCAGCCCTTGGGATCACGGCCCAGGGGGGTTCTGGGTAGAGATGCTTGCAGATCTTTTGGCTACTGTGCTTTTGAGCTGTAGGTGGACCAGGCCTCTTCTGGTGCAGCTGGTCCTTGTTTGGGTCAGGCCACGGAAAGGTTTCTTTCTCTTGCTCTGGGCATTTGAGCATAAATGGTGGGGTGGATAAAGGAGTAGAGCAGCTGCAGCAGAGGGTGACTTATGCCTCAGCCTGGCAGATGCTTCCCTTTGAGACTTCAGGGCCTTCCTTTTCCTGGGCTCAGTGCAGCTCTGCATCCTTAGGAGCCTCCAAATTTCTTGGCTTATAATGGTGGAGTTTACAAAATGTTATCTGGGTTCTCTTTCTTATCAAAACAAATACGGGCAAAGACGCCCCTGGATCCTGTGTTTAATCTGTTCCAATGCTGCTGTTCCCCTTTCAGAAAGCTGTGGACGGAAGGAAGCTGGTTTTGGTCCTGGATCCCAAGAGGAGCAATGCCATCAATATTGGCTTGACGGTGTTGCCTCCCATCCATGTCATCAAGACGGCCATTCTCAGCTTTGATGAGTTTGCAATCAATAAGGAAGGGATTGAGGTGAGAAGGGATTTCCTGGGGTACCTTTGGATGGGTGTCCTCAGTGCTTCAGAAAGCTTTCTGTGCAGGAGAACATCAGGAGATTCTGAGGGATCTGAAGGAGGTTTTGACTAACCTTGTTCCCTCTGACTTTTTTTTTTAACCAGAAAATATTGACCATGGTTCCCACGGAGGAGGAGAAGCAGAAGATCCAGGAGGCCCAACTGGCAAACCCGAATCTCCCTCTGGGGTCAGCCGAGCAATTCCTGCTCACGCTCTCCTCCATTGCAGAGCTCCCGGCTCGCCTCCAGTTGTGGGCTTTCAAGCTGGACTACGAAGCCCTGGAGAAGGTACTTGTGCAGGGCATGGATTGACTAGGAGGAAAGGGGTGCACAGCTGGATTTCAGGGTGACTCTCCCTGTTAGCTTGCAAGAAGAATCTGCTGGTTAGCAAAGAAGGGCAAATCTGGGTGTCGTTTTGGCAACCGAGCATTCCTATTAATACAAGGCACATGTGGCACTGCTGTCTGCCATGATTGGTAGGCTTGGGGATGGGGGTGTCACTCCACGCCTTAAGTGTCTGGCCAGATGGCTCTCTTCTGAACTTTCTCTCTCCTTCCCTTTTCAGTGTTTCCCATTCTGTGAGGGTTTTGTTACCTTTTTATTTTATTGATCAAATTTATTTGCTGCCCATCCTGAGGTTCAGACAACTCTGAGCGGAACCTGCTTTGTTTTCTTCTCTTCAGGAAATTGTAGAGCCCCTCTTCGATCTGAAGCTGGGCATGGAGCAGCTAACCAAAAACCAGACCTTCAGGCGTATTCTGGCTACCCTTCTGGCCATGGGCAACCTCCTGAATGGCTCCCAGGTGAAGCACGACATGGCTGCCTTTTAGGAGAGTCTCGTGCCTGGTGTCAGATCTGCCCCAGTCTGGTCTCCTAGCAAAGTAAAGCTCTCTTGCCCATTTGTTCCCCCTCCGTTCCCTGATTGATGGCAGAACGCCAGCAAGATGCCGCCAAGCCGAAGGTGGTGGATGGGACACTTGGCCCTGCCCAAGGCCAAGGCGTTCGATCAGAATGTATCTGGAGATGACCAAAGCAAGCTTTTACCTGCCTTCTTCCCTGTCTGTCCTAGTGAAGTCTCTGGGATTGGGGGCTGGTTTCCAAGATGGGACGTTAAGCCAAAGCCTGCCCATATGCCCCTCCTCTAGCCTGCTCCTGAGAGTCCTTTTGAAAGCCCTTTTAAGGCATCCCTGATCAAAATGGGATCATCTGAAGGCCACTCGAGGCAGAACGCCTGCTCTTTGTGGACTATTTCTGGACTGGCTTCCCTCCACCACAGGAGGAAAGAACCTCTTCTCTTCCTTGCACTTACAGAGTCGAGGGTTTGAGCTCAGCTACCTGGCCAAAGTGTCAGAGGTAAAAGACACCGTCCACCGGCAAAGCCTCCTGCACCACCTGTGCCACTTTGTGGCAGTGGAGTTCCCAGCCACCACAGACCTCTACTCAGAGATTGCTGCCCTCACTCGCTGTGCCAAGGTGAAGGGCTTTTCTTCCCCTCATTCTGCACCTGGGAGGCTGAGTTTGGGTGCTGAGGTCCCACTCAAATCCCACAGGGGCAGCACATCTACAGTGCTCATCTTGTCTCCTCAGGTGGATTTTGGGGAGCTGGCAGAAAGTGTCCTGCAGCTGGAACGGCGATGCAAGGCCTCTTGGGAGCACCTGAAGGCCATTGCAAGACACGATTGCAAGCCAGCACTCAAGAACAAGCTGCTGGATTTTCTACAGGCCAGCACAGAGAAGATTGGCCTCCTTAAGATCATCCACCGGCGGGTGTTGAACAGGTCTGTGTCTCTAGATAGTCTGACTGCTGGTGGCCGAGTAAGCTCGTTAAGAGGGGCCTGTATTGTGTGTATGGCTACAAAGAGAGCAGTTTCCCACAAGAGAATGGCAATGGGCCACTGAGAGATCACAGGTGGCCAAAAGAAGGCTGAGCTTCTTTTAAGCAGAACTGACCCTTGGATTGGCCACTTCACAGCAAGATGACAGCACTGGGTGGGGGCCTTCAATTCCAGCTGTGTCCCCGAGGCATTAAGGGCATGGACGACCAGGCCAGAGGGAATGAAGAAGCTGAGGGCAAAGCTCCTCACAGTCTGCTTTCCCCCCATTTGCGGCCTGGACCGTGTGGAAGGCCGCAGACCATTTCCTGTTCTGGGAGATTATCCCAAAGGTGCTTTTTTCAAGAGGCAGCTCAACTTTCTTGTTTTTCTTTTGAAGACATTTCGCTTCTCATCCAAGAAGCTTCTTCAGCTTTGACTGGACGGTAGGTTATGGAAGGATTTATACTCCTTGCAGACAGCCGGTCATTTGCCTTCTGTTAGAGAGTCATTGAGGTCATCTGGAGGTTTATCTGTGTCCTCAGGGTCACCCGAGTAGTGCAAATGGGTGTGTAGCCTTCTTGGAATTGTTGAAAGGACTGTGTTGTAGATTGGAGATAGATGATGTCATATCTCTCCCTCTCTGTTGAGAGGGGGTGGTTCAGTCTTGACCTAGATGGCCTCTTTGACCCCTCTTTCAAAGCAGAGGTCCTCTCTGTCCAAAATGTGGACTTTGTTGTCTTCGAAAGAACGGCCTTTGTCTTTTAAATGCAGGTGGACTGCTGAACCTTGTCCTGATGGGTTTGTTCTCCTATGTTGTGCCCTGTGTTTGTGAAATGGTTGTTTTGTTTCCCCAATGTACAGATCTGTACATGGCTCACTGCATTGTATTGCATCTACCACATTGCTCAATTTTTGACTGGGTGTTTTGTCTGGGTGTTGTCCTTGGAGTGGACAAGCTTCTGCTTTAGTGTATCGTGGGTTTGAAATGTGCACGTATGTTGTGTTGGGTGAAAATCCTGAGTTTTTCCGATATTCCTGCAACTTATGGAATGACTAAGTTGCTTTGTTTATTGTTTTCTTCTTTGTCTGTTATGGAGGTGCTCCTGCTGGGTCTTTTGGGGGGATACTTTGAGAGTGCCTGGGAGATACTCTGGGAGGTCTCGGAGATTCACTCTGGAAAAGGTTGGGTCTCCCGTGGAACTTCCAGACTGGAACATTTTGGGGGAAATGTATGCCCAAATCTTTCAGAAACAGGCGGTACAGTTTTGCACATCCCTGAGGTGAAATTATTCCACCCTTAAAGGCCTCCCATCCAGAAAACAGGCTCCCAAATGGCATTGCTAGAATTTGACCGAGTGGCTCAGTGTCTGGGTCCAAAGGAGAGTCTTGGAGTGCCTGCCTCGCCTGGTGCCCCCACAGGGATCTCCCCACCCTTGGTGGATCTTGCAGCAGCTGGATAGATTCGGATCAGGGCTATGTCTGGATGGAAGCTGGGGCGCCCCCAGAAGAAGGCCGGGGGAAGGCAAGGACATTGCCCCGAGGGCTGCATGGGGCCAGCAGAAGCGGGTGGCCTTATCAAGACAGTCACGCTGCTTGCTTTGCCTTCTCAGGTGCTCAATTGGGACAAACTGCTGTCACCCCTCTCCCCCCCCCCCGCTTTCCTTGGTGCATTTGTTCAATTTGGTCGTTTGCTTATTTGCAGTAATTGCTCTTTTAATGTTAAGCTGCTAAATATCTAATTTAAAAAAGACCTTTATTATGCTTGAAAGCTGAAAAATGAGATGGGGATTTACTCTCTAGAATGGTGAGGGATTATTGTCCCTGGAGGGATTATTGCCCAAGAGCTGCAGTCTTCCTCTCTGAGGGGGGGGGCAGCATTTTTGCTTTTCTGCTGATCCATGCATCCTTCAGCCCCCTCTGAAGTGACCCCTCCAGAGGAGGCTGAAGGACGCATGGAGCAGCAGGAAAAAAAATGCTGCCCCCCCCCCTCAGAGAGGAAGACTAGTCTGGGTTCAGCATCATTCAATCTTTTCGGGGTTCCCAGAGGTCCATCCCAGGGAAGAGGATAGGTGGACATACCTGAGCAGTGCCAGCTGCAGTTTGCCTTGGAGGCCCCAGGCCTGTCTCTGCGGCAGTCCCACCTCCGACTCACGGATGCTCTCTCTCTCTCTCTCTCTCTCTCTCTCTCAAGGTTCCACTCCTTTCTCCTGTTCCTGGGCTACGATGCACACTCGGCACAGAACATGAGGGTTACCAGCTTCTGCCGGCTTCTGCGGGAGTTTGCCCTGGAGTACCATACCTGCCGAGAGCGTGTCCTGCAGCAGCAGAAGAAGCGGGCAGCCTGTCGGGAGAGGAACAAGACACGGGGCAGGATGATTACTGAGGTGAGCCATCCAAGGTTGCTCAAAAAGTTTTGAGTCTACGTAAAAAGAGGGCTACACAAAAAGAGGCGATCCCTGTATCCTCTCCCCTCCTGGTCCTCTGGGCTGGCCTTACAGTTGCCATAACAGAGGGAAGAGGAAGAACCACCACGAGGACATGGGGCTTGCTTCCTTTGCACTCCCTTGGACATCTTCTCTCTTTGCAGATGGAGAAGTTTGCTGTGGCTGGCAAGACCGAAGATGACTCAGCTCCTCCTGCTGTGTTGTCAGCCAGCCCGGAGCAAAAGGAAGAAGCCAGCCATAAAGACTTGACCAGCTTGCTTGTCTCCCCAGCAGAAGGCCCTGGCCACCGCTCTCGCGCCAGCAGAGGTAGGAACTAGCGCCTGGCACAGGATTCGGCCTCGGCATCCTCCTCAGCAGGGCTCCCTTTCCTGGGCTCTCTGGCAGCTGATAGCAATCTCTCCCCCACACACACACTTTCCCCTTCCAGCTCCTTCCAGGTCCTTCTGGATGCCTCCGGTTTCTCTCTCTCTCTCTCTCTCTGTAGCTCCCAGCATTGCTAAGGGCTCCCCTGTATTCACCTCCTGCCCTCCATCTCTTGTGGAGGTCTAATCCAGATAGATCTCAAGTCCTGTTAGCTGAATTATTAAGCGCTCAGTGCGCTGACCCTGGAGTGGCGAGAGGCGGTGGGGGCCAGGCCTTCCTGCAGAGGCGAATTGAATGGCGTGAAAGGGGACGATGCACAAGGCAGCCAGCTGTAGGTGCTGGCATTATTCGAGGGGAGAGAGCTGGTTCAACCCATCTCAACGCACACCTGCAGAAACATGTCAGCAACTCCCTCCACCCCTCAGGAGTTTTTCCATTTAGGTGCTGGGAAGCAGAGTCCCGCTGGTGGGTCCACCCTCCAGGAGGAGGCTGCTGGATCGCCTGAGGATGCTTCTGAGGAGATCATGAACCGCCTGGTCAAGTCTGTGACCCAGAGGTCTCCTGCACGCTCAGGCCCGGCGAAGGAGCGCCGGCGATCACGCGGGAACAGGAAGTCCTGTAAGTGTTGCCTGATCCGTCACTTTGGGGGAGTCACAAAGTGGCTTCTGTGCACTCCCCCTTGGAGGGGGCGATTGATGTGGAAAAGAGGAGTGGGAGGAAAGGTCTCCCTGCCCCCCCGTCCCCTCTCAAAGCAGGCCCCGCCAAGGCCACTCCAGTCCTGCTGCCAGAGAGGGCCTCTGCGTCTCCCTGACCCCCCCCCCTTTCTCCTTCCTTGCAGTGAGGCGGACCCTGAAGAGCGGCCTGAGTGAGGAGCTGGTGCAGGCCCTGGGCCTGGCACCCTCGGCCAGCGTGTCCGTGTGAGGAGCCCCCAAGGCCGTGCCGAGCGGGAAGAAGCAGGAGGGGGAACTGGAGAGGCTCTTCTCTTTGGGAGGCTGCCTCCCTTCACCAAGAGGGGTGGGGGGGGCAGATGCCCAGGCAGTCCCCTCCCCACTGGGCAGAGTCCTGTTTGGCCCCTTGTGCCTTGAGGAGCAGGCTTCGCTTGGCCAGTGTGTTGGCCTGTGTGCTTGTGTGGATGCTCCTGCCCAGGGCTGGGGAGCTGAAGCCTCTGTTTCAGGCGTCTCCCCAGGGGGTGGGGCTGTTCCCCTCCCCCCCCCAGCCCATGCCCTGCAATGGGAAGGGTAGGCCTAGTGGAGAGCAGGCCGGAGAGATGGCCTCTTGGCACTCCCTCCAAAGTCCCAGAAGGAGCGGCTCTCTCTGCCCGGCCCCTCTGCTGCTGCTGCTGCTGCTGCTGCCTCCGCCCAAGGGGGAGCCTCCGGGGGCTGCTTGGCCCTTCCTGGAGTTCAGTGTTAGAAATGAGAAGTAAAAGCTGTTCTTGCAAGTCTGGCAAAACAGTCGTGTTCCTCTTTTCCTGCTGTCTGTTACATCTTCAGTTGCTGTTCATTAAATGGTTTGAAAACTGAGCTGTGTGGAACTTCCTCCCCCCCCCCCGAATAGAAAGTGGCCATTGCCTAGCCCCGTCTTCTTGTCACCAGCATTTCTCTCCCCCCCCCCATCTGAGCACCTGCTTTGGGGCCCAGCAGCCCCTGAGAAGGACTCCAGAGAAGAAGAGGCTGCAAGAGCTTTGCCTGCTTCTGGGGGGCCTTTCTCCGAGGGTCTTTAGGATACCGGCTCTCAGGCCAGGCAGAGGAGCCAGCGCGGCACAGACTCTGCCGTGGCCCAGGTCTCCGGAGCCACTGGCACCCGTGGCATTTTGGAGAGGTTCAGGAAGAGAGATTCTCCACAAATGCATACAGCTCCTTGGGTGGAAAGGAGTGGAAAGCTGTCAAAGAAAATAAAAGACCTGAAATAAGAAAGGAAAGGGGGCTGTAAGGGTTCTCTCTCCCTCTTTGCTCCGCTTGGTCTCGGTCGACCTCCTGGCTCAACCACCTGGGCTGGCTGACTTTTGTTCTTGAAGCTCCTCACGTTCTGTTTCTGAGAAAGTCTCAATGAAAAGCCACTTTCTGCTCTTCCTCCTGACTTGTTCACCCTTCACATGTTGGTTTTGCCATTGGATTCCCAGGCACGTAGCTCTCTCTGCCACCCAAGAGCCCCTGCGGTGCTGAGGGCTCCTCCGTGTTTGGCCTGCATTCATCGCACCTTCAGTCTGCAGTCTCTTGTTTTATTGTGTGCGTGCACACACACTTTTAAGGACCCATTCCAACCCTATTCAACTTCATCCTTTGCTACCAAGGGAAGACATTTCATTATAAATTCTTTATTTCTTAACTTCCACCTCCCTGCAGTATAATGAAGTGGACCGAAGGACAAAAGGGCACGGAGCCACTTCTGCACTGCCTTTGGGGGCAATGTTCCTCCTGCCACCCACCATCTTTGCCAACATCGTGGGTCTTAACTCCCCCATCCATCGTCCTGTCTTCAGTAAACGTCCTTCGGGGATATACACATTCATCTTGTTTTTCACCATTTATGTATAAATTGTTCATTCCTTTTTGTCTATTAAATAAGGCTGCCTTGGTTGTTCATAATTAGTTTTTAAATCCATGTTCCTTGCTGCACCGTACAGTCTGTCTGACATCATTTGGATTGTCAGCTGACAACAGTTCGTCTGCATTCAAAAGTACACACACATATATATGTGTGTGTGTGTCCCCAACGCAACAGAGGCATGAAATGTCACCAGTGTTCCTGATACAGCTAACTGTAAATGCACGGAACAGCCAAAAGGGCACCACTCATTCCTGCTCAACTCTGAAGCGCTCATTAAGCATTCACTGGATCCATATGCATGCTTTACTTACACCACATACCGCTATTGCTATATTCAGCAACCAGCCTTCAAATCCTTTCCTGCAGAAAAGTCCACAATTCGAAAGGATCTTCATTGTATGAGATGGGAACAGTTGAAGCTGTGGGAATCTGATGCAGCTTGGTACAAGTGGGCCACCTCTTTTGTCAGAAAGTCACAAGATTTAATGCCCCTCAGTTTCTGCAGGCCTTTCTGCTTGGCCTGTGTGCTTTACAGGGATGGCTGGTCCCACCCTAGGATGGGGTGGCTTATGTGGGTGTGGAGGTGATCTGTTAATGAGTAACCGCTTGTGGCACTGCTGGCTTCAGCACTGGTAAAGTATTCCATAGCCAGTTCTCCCTGCTCCTCCTACCCAGCCCTACCGCTGCCTTCCTTCCCCACAACTGCTTTGGTGCTGGGCAGCAGAGAGGCAGAGGCCCAGGTCACCTGCCCTGGGTCCCTCACGTCCCCCTCTTGCTCCCAGAGGGGCCACAGGTCCATTTGCACTAGGCCAGCCGAGGAGAAAGGCCCCTGGGTTTCCCTGTGTTCAGGGTGGGCTGCGAGGGCGAACAGCCCGCCAAGGGCAGGGGAGGGGCTCCTCCTCCTCTCCTCCAAGAGATGGCGAAGCAGGGAGAGCCCAGCACTGGCCACTGTGCCTCTCGTCCTCAGGCCAGTGGCTTGAGACCTGCCCTGGAGGAATCTAAGGCTGACCGTGAAGCACCCAGGCTGACGGATGGCTGAGGCCTTCCATCCAAGGTGGCCGAGGGCTTCCTGCTCCCTGCTTCTTTCCATGCAAGAGCTGTTCATACCTTTCACAAGCGTAGCAAAAGTGGGCCGATCCTCTTCCTCTTCGCTTCCATCATTTCTCCCCGGGGCTCCCACTGGCTTGGCTTGGCAGGGCCAGAGGACAAAAGCTCCCAGGCTTTAGGGGACCTAAAGCGTCAAAGAAGGAAACGCAGGTAAACGGAAAATGAACATCTGTCACATGATTTCAAAAGTCTGTTGGCCCTGGTTTGCTTGGTTTAGTTGCTCTCTGTATGCATGGCTGACCTCAGAAGAACATCAAGTGGGGGAGCCCAGGGGAGCCCGTTGGAAAAGCAGGATGCAGATATAATGCCAGAGCCACCCGAGGAGGAATCTGGCAGTCGCCACAAGGCTCAGCCCTTTCTAAAGGGGCTCTGGATAAGAAAGAAATCAGAAAAAGCTGGGGATGAACCTGAGAGCGATCCGAAGATGAACGCTGCCCCTGAGAGCCAAGGCCTCCCCTCTGCCCCACTAAGGCCTCCCGCCCCCTTTGGCTGCAGCCCCTTCCTGGCTCAGGTGTAAAGAGAACTCAGCCAGCCCCCTCCTTCTAGATGGGAAACCACCCGGAAGAAGGGCTGGGGCTTCTTCGGCCTGTCTTTATTATCCAAGTCTTTAGAGACTTCAGTCTTCTCCTGATCCAACCAGTGGGGGGCAGGGAGGGCCGGTGGTAGCAGCAGAAGCAGCTCTCCCACCCACCCACCTTTTGGAACGGAGGCAGCTTCTACCAAAATGCCTGGTGGAGACCCTCTTTCTCCCCACGTGAGGTTTCCAAAAGTCCCTGCCAGGTGACAAGGTCTCCTATGGGACGTGGACTTTTGTTGGTGCACTGCCAGCTTTGCCTGGGGACGGGGCTGACAAGTCATGGGAAGCTCCTGAGGCTGAGAGGCACCGGTGGCCACAGGGATAGACCCAGTGTCCAGCAGGCCTGCTTATTCTCAAGTTACCTACATTTGGATTGAAATGCAGTCAAGGAAGTGTGTGTGTGTGTGTGTGTGTAAAGGTTGCTTAGAGTGTTGTATGTGCAGCGCCTGGGGACATGGAGACTCTGACCTTGAAAGAGGAATGGCCTGAACTTGCATTTTCCCCTTAAGCATTTTAGTAAGGCTAGCTGGTTTTGAGTTGTTCTCTCCCTCCACCCCACCCCACCCCCCTGTTTTGTCAACAGCTTCCTAAGGGAGCAGGATGGCCGGCTGGAACAAGCCAGCCACCTGGAACAGAAAAACATCTGAAGGTGACCAGCCTGCTTGACATCCCAGGAGCTCCTTGCAGCCTTTGAGGCCTCAGACGTGAAAGCTTGGCTTGGAGCATGAGAGGCCTTTAGGTTAAGCGGGCAAAGGAATCGAGTTCTGCCAATATACATGGAAGCAGAAACGAATCCCTTCTCATCTGGGCTACCATTCCTTGCCCTGAATGTTGGAACAACTTTAAACATCCCTTCCCTATCTTCTGACAGCCCTTCAGAGACAAAAAGAGTTTCCACATTTCCCCACAAAACTATAGTGAAGCACATGCAACATCTCCAACTGTTCTTCATAGGAATTTCCCTTGTCAATTTGGTTGCTCTCCTCTGGACAGGCTCCATTTTGCCAACTGTCCTTCTTGAAACGTGGTGCCCAGACCTGAAGGCAACATTTTATGTGTGGTCCGTCCAAGGCGTAACGGAGAGGAAGGATCACAGTGGAACTGCACAGGAACACAAGCTGAGAAGACTTATTTTATTTATTTATTTATTTATTTTTCATAATTTATATGCCGCCCTTCTCCCCACGGGACTCAGGGCGGCTCACAGCATATTAAAATGACACAACACAAACAACACAACACAACATTTCCCCTATAAAAGCCAATTAAAAACCAAATATTTATAGTCTGTGACATTATTAAAATCATTAAAAATTATCCCTATTTAAAATTCACCCTAGGTCAGTCCCGCTTGCTGAAAAAGCCATGTCTTGAGGGCGCGGCGGAAGGTTAGGAGATCCGGGATTGTCCGGATCTCG